TTTTGATTAAAATATGTCTGAGGAGGTTTGTTAAGTCACTAACAGACTAGGAGACTAGTAAGTCATTTCACAAATGCCTTAATGAATAAATTCTTGAAAAGACTTCCGAAACTCGTCGATACCATCTTCCACATCAACTTCTTGACGAAATTCTATTTCCACTATGCAAAGTACGCACTTCCCAATGTCACATGTTGTACGAATATTCCCAGACATAGTTTCCCTCTTCATTACACCTTCTGTAATCTGCTGTTTTCTTCTTTTTTCTTTCGTTGATGACATCTGGCGCGCTCCCCTCATTCCGTCTGTCGTGTGTTGTGCGGGCGTGTGCCACTTGTTTGCTCTCCTCAGCTGATGGAACAGGCGCACTTTGCATAAAATTAGAACGACGTCTGCGAGCCGCTTTGAACTCCCTTGCAATATGACTGAACAACAAAAACAACTCGCAGTACTTGAAGTACTTAAACAACAAGTTAAGCCATTTAATAAGTTTTAAATGTATTGTAAAGTTCTAAACATAAATATAATATACGCAAACAAATTAAAAGCTAATGTTTTTAGGTCAAAGCAAAGTCACATCTCAAGGTTGGTTAACCTAGGTCAAACTAAAGGGCTATATTAATGCATTAATGTAATGATAACAATAATAATAAAAATAAATATTGATAAGTAGAATTAGAATACAAGAATGAAATTTTAAGAAAAGTGAAAGCATTAGTAATTAACGAAACAATGATAACACAATCTGCTTGTCCATTCGGCGTAACAAATCTGTACCTTAACAAAACGACGTTTCATTAAAAACAGGTCTATGGTCTGGTTTATCTACGTCGGTACCTTTATTACTTCTTCAGCTCCTAGAACTGGTTATCGTAATATTTTTATTATTTTTATCATTTTTGTCACCACTTTAAATTCTAAACAAAAAACACGCACTTAATAAAATTTAAAATATAAACTTTATTTTAATTTATTATTTGGCAGTGAAGCTGAAAAGTTATGAATCGTTGCGCGATATATTTTATTGAATATAATATCTTCATTAAATGTTGTCCACGACATTTATACACAGGCGAGATTAAAAAAAAAACCCTTCTGAATGGAAATGTTGAAACGTGAAACACGAACACGAGCGTTGAATATATTCTTGACAACGAATTTCAATAATACCCTTTTTTATTCTCATCGATATCAGTTTTTACGTTCGTTACCGTGGATTACGTTCGTGGTGATCGAATTACTTTCGATTTCTTTGCGTAGAGAGCGGCTCTACCTATCTCGCCCTTTATTGAACGCGTCAATTAGCTGAAATTTATTGGGGTGTAATTTACACAAGCATTTCTATAAGCTTTCATTGAAGACTAGTCGCTCGAAATCAGAAGTTGGAGTATTTATCAATTTTTTGAAAGTGAAAACTTGTGTTAGTTTAATTTTCAGTTTATCATTAACATCCCAATGAGATTATATAAATCTGCGCATGTGTGTGTGTGTGTGTGTGTGTGTGTGTCAACAATGGAATGAAATTATCTGTGCAGCAAAAAATAAGAGAAATTAATTTTGTACATGTTAAAAATAATGTAAATACTATGTTCATGTCAATATTTATTATTAACTATATTTATTATATTTAATGTGAAAAAAAAACAATGATTGCATTAATTAAACCTTTAATTCACAGAAATTTCCACTTTCAGCTATATTATTTTGCCATTTCCAATATCAGATCATGATTATGCGTTTTACTAGCTTAATAACTATCAAAACCATTCTCCAACCCCTCGAATTATATTTTCAAACGCACGTGCTTAATGAAATAGTGAAGTAGAAATAGACCCGCATCACATTACCCAATTGTTCATTACTTAAAATGTGGAAAACACTACATTTCACTTCACTACATCTCTTTATCCAGATTACAAAGCGAACAATAGCTAATAATCTAAAATCATTTCAGAGAATAGCAAATTAATCATCACCATTCATTGCATTTCGATTGATTCTGAACTATACTCAACCATTTGTACTTGACATTAAATACATCGAAAAAAGAAGCTTACAAAATAGTGAAATTGCAAAACGCAGACAATAATTAATTATTTAAGTATTCCAAGCATTCTGATGAATAATTGCCCACTTACCTATATTCTGCAGAATGCAACTAATTAATGACAAACAATAAAGGTGTAAAGCTGTGCTGGTACGAGTAAATAATGCACGGCAATTTAGCGCAATCAAATAATAATGTCTTCGCATTGCTAAAAACTTAAGCATTTAACATTCATGCATTTAAGACGTTCAACATACTTCAAAATGATTGTCATGCCACACATGCCAACAGTAAATTAAGTGACATTTGAGTGAAACTCAGGTGAGAAAATTTCTTCTTCTTAAAGTAATCTATATATATATAAATGAATTGCTGTTCGTTAGTCTCGCTAAAACTCGAGAACGGCTGAACGGATTTATCTTATCTTGGTCTTGAATTATTCGTGGAGGTCTAGGGTAGGTTTAAAAGGTGAGAAAAAGTCGAATAATTGCCGGGAAAATCCTCAAAAAGCTCTTTTCTATAGAATAAAATTTGACATTGAGATTCAATCGTAGTTATAGTTAAATGGTTGAATTCGAGATGGCGCTGTTGAAGTACTATTGACAAACTTTATATGCATAATTTCTTTAAATAAAAATTGCTAATCTTATTGATAGAATTGACTCTTACTACGAGTATGTCTAGAACAAGAGAGTAAAAACGAATTACATTTTTATTAAACACTACCGGAACGAAGTCGCGGGCAACAGCTAGTAAACAATAAATTAGGTATTCAAGTTCAAAATCATGTGTATTTTATGTTTCAAAACATATTTTAATAATCTTGATGAAAAGTTAAAAACCGGAAGCTTGGTTTTTGGTAGGAACCTAGTTTTAAAATCATATATTCGGTAAAGTCGTCATGCACCATTTAGTAATCATGGTTTGATGCATAGTGCACGCCGGAAATCGTTATGCTTATTGAAATTTTTCAACCACCGTGCAGTGGCAGTGCCAGTCAAGATCCTGTTAGGGTTGGTTGATATTGTTTCGCATGCATGTGTACCTACGTTCGTCAAAAGTGTATCGCAACAGGAACAAGGAACTAATGCGTGAAATAACCACCCCGACCACTACCGCCCCGGATATCAATAATTGCGTCATTACACAATGTGCACGTGCCCGAAAACGTCATACATACAACTCGTGTGTTCTCGCACGTGTTCAAGACAATCGGAAATAAATTTGAATAAAAAATTAAACACGAAAAAATCATACAAATCGTATAAAATCTTCGGAAATAAAGAATTACGATTTTATTGAATTTTGTGTGGTCTGTAATGAAAGAATCAATAATTGCAATGATTGAATCTGTTGTGCAGAATATTATAATTGGAAAAAATCGATATCAAATTGAATTATGATCATAATAATGAGAATAATTGCAGACACTTATTGCAATAATACCGTAGCAGTAATCTGATATGACTTCTCGTGTGGTACAAAAGTTTACGCAGCTTGAACACTGATTAACAGCTGGAAATCAAATTAAGTGCGGAAATCAACGTTTCAATACTTATATGCCACATCTGTATTAACTACCGCAGACAGTGCTTTAATAATCAATAATCATTATTTAAACTTTCTGTTCTCGGCGACTTGGACGTCATATCACAATGTGGCATTAAACAAACATAAAATTTGCATGTTTTTATGCGAAATAAAAACGGCAGACATGCTAACTATTAATTTAAAATTGAAATTTTCATTTTACATGAATTGCAAGTGAATTAATCTTTTAACTTCTTGGAAAATTAATGTTTTGTTTATGGCGTGTGCCGAAAATTAAACAAACATTTGATATGTTTAATTATTCGCATGTACCAAGCAGCTGCATAAGAAACACAAATAAATGCAATGCAAAATAAAATACTTTAATGGCTTGCAGACAAATATTCACCATATCCAATTTAGGTGAACAATACTGTGTCAAATCAATTCGGAATATTGTTTATTATGATATGAGTTGCAACGCACGTGATTTAAGCCGTCGGCACCTTTGGCTGTCGGAAAACAATTTGATGCTGTTTGATTTTGACCGCAACTCACGATTGCTTTGCTCTGATGCACATCAGAGCTGACGCTGCATCATCATTTTGTTCTTCAGCCGTAAAACGTAAACGGTATTGATTGCAGCTGTACTTGTTTTGATTTCGGATAATTCCTTGTGCTTGTTTAGAGAAACATCTCTCACTTCAGATAAACTGTACGTGTTCGCTTAACACTTCAACGACGACAAAATGAAACATTTTGGCTGAATTAAAGATGATTGCATGATTTCATGCTTGTAAAAAGTATTTAGGGAGTTTAAAGTTTAAAAATTACTTAAATGTAATTTTTATGATTTAATATTTATTAAATTAACGATAAATTACGTTTTCAACGAAGAAAATAAATTTTTTAGGATTTTTTCTATAAAAATTATTTTTTTTAATAAAAAAGTGCTGTTTTTTCTCATAAAATAATAATTTGACAAAATAAACAATATAATTTCAAAGTAAGTATACCTTAAAGTATAAATATATAAGAATTTATAAAATAAAATTATATTATGGTATTACTTGCTCCATCTACAAGAGATTCCTTCAACTTATAAAACCTGCATTTTTGCTTGGCGTGGGTGCTACAGGCAACTTACATTCGCGCCACGTTCCAAAAGCACTCAAATCTAGAGCAACGAAAGCTTTAATTGATTTAATTTCCCATACATTCGCTTTCTACAGAGAAGCAAAAAAAAACACAACTAAATATATGCGATGGAATAAATTAATCAATCTTTCTGAACTTGTTAATTAATGCACTATTCAATTGAAATTTGCGGTCAACTTTGACGTGGTGCATAAATTATTTGAAATAAATTGTTTCCTGTTGCATTTGAAAAATGTCCCAGCAAAAAGTATAAATACTGTGGCAATATTCTAGCATTCAGCAAACCCACGGGTGGTTTTGGTGCTGAAACTAAGTGGGTCCGCCATGATCGAGACCAAGATGTCGTCGGCGCTCGTCGACAGCAGCATGCTGTACTTCCTGACCTTTGTTACGGTTTTCTTAGCAGTGTACACCTACGGCCGGAAGTACATGCGTATGCTGCAAGTGTCATCCAAAATCCCCGGACCCGATTTTAAGGATACTCTGAGGACCAGCTTGAAAACCTTCACAGCTGAACCATTCGGTATTTATCTGGAACTAAATAGAAAATAGTTATTAACTTTTCTTCCTGTTACAGAATTTTATAAATATGCTATTGAGTTCCAAAGTAATTTCCAGGACATTGCTAAAGTATGGTTTGGGCCTAAGTTGCTTATCTTTTTGTATCATCCAGCGGATATTGAGGTAAAAGGATTTATTTTAAAAACGAAGAAAAATTTATTTTCTTTTTATTGTAGCTAATCTTAAGCAGTAATGTCCATATTGATAAGAGTGCTGAATATTCCGTCTTCAAACCATGGTTTGGTAATGGTCTCCTTATCAGTACTGGAGCAAAATGGAAGCATCATAGAAAAATGATTGCGCCAACTTTCCATCAAAGCATCCTGAAGACTTTCGTCCCCAAATTCTACGAAAACAGTTTAAAGGTCTGCGAGAAAATGAAGCGCGAAAAGGGAAAGAACTTTGATTGCCATGACTACATGAGTGGTACAACTGTTGACATTCTTTTGGAGACTGCTATGGGTTACAATGCTCCTCGCACTGAGGAAACTGGCTACAACTATGCTATGGCTGTTATGAAGTATACAAATCCTATAAATTTAATAATTATTATTTATGTTATATTTTAAATATTCACAGGCTTTGCGACATCCTCCACAGACGTCATTACAAAGTCTGGCTCAGACCTGATTACTTCTTCAAGAAGACAGTCATGGCCCTAGAACATACCAAACTCCTCAAGGTCATCACCGGTCTTACCACCAAGGTAGTACACAACAAGAAAAAGGAAGTCTTGAAGAAGGGCGTTGAAGCAATTGAAAACTCCTTCGAAAAAGTAGAACCAGTTGTCGTTGAAAAATCAGAGACCATTTCCGGTTACAACTATGGTACTGCCGTAAGAGATGATCTTGATGACAATGATGAGAATGACATCGGAGAGAAGAAACGTCTCGCATTTTTGGAACAACTCACTGTGAATTCCCAACGTCCTGATGTTGACTTTACCGAAGAAGAAGTCCTGGATCAAGTTAATACTATTATGTTTGAAGGCCATGACACCACAGCAGCTGGATCCAGTTTTGCTTTGTGTATGATGGGCATCCACCAGGACATTCAAAACAAAGTTCGACAGGAAGTCGATGAGATCTTCCAAGGTTCCGACAGGGAGTGCACGTTTGCAGACACTTTGGAGATGAAATACTTGGAAAGGGTTATCATGGAAACTTTGAGGATGTATCCACCAGTACCGCTGATTGCTAGGCAGTTACAGGAGGAAGTCGAATTACGTTCTGGAAAATATTCTTTGCCAGTTGGTGCAACAGTGGTTGTGGTCCAAGCTGTCCTCCACCGCAGACCTGATGTCTTCCCAAATCCTGATGTCTTCAACCCGGATAATTTCCTTCCAGAAAAATGTCAAGATCGTCATTATTACAGCTACATCCCATTCAGTGCTGGGCCCCGATCCTGCGTGGGTCGTAAATTTGCTATGTTGAAACTCAAGGTTCTTCTATCCACTATCTTTAGGAAGTACCGTGTTCACTGCGACATGAAAGAGGAAGACTTCAAGCTGCAAGCTGATATTATCCTGAAAATCGCAGATGGTTTCAATATCAGGTTGGAACCTCGCACGGATATTCCATGTTGCTAAACATGTTATTTCTTCAATCCAGATGATTACTCCACACCTGCTATGACAATGACTTCTTAATTTTATCTATAAAATTATTTCACTCAAAATTTATACTAGTCTCAACAAATGATTAGTTATTAGTATTTATTAGCGTGATGTTATATTTTGTAAAAAAATTCTGTTGAGATTTTATGTAAATATGTTTCGCTTACTTTGAATTTGAATAACGAGCATAATTTTTTCTGCATGAACCTTATAAGTTAAATAATAATTATTTTAAAAATATTTTAAATATTCACAGGCTTTGCGACATCCTCCACAGACGTCATTACAAAGTTTGGCTCAGACCTGATTACTTCTTCAAGAAGACAGTCATGGCCTTAGAACATACCAAACTCCTCAAGGTCATCACCGGTCTCACCACCAAAGTAGTACACAACAAAAAGAAGGAAGTCTTGAAGAAGGGCGTTGAAGCAATTGAAAACTCTTTCGAAAAAGTTGAACCAGTTGTCGTTGAAAAATCAGAGACCATTTCTGGTTACAACTATGGTACTGCAGTAAGAGATGATCTTGATGACAATGATGAGAATGACATTGGAGAGAAGAAACGTCTCGCATTTTTGGAACAACTCACTGTAAATTCCCAACGTCCTGATGTTGACTTTACCGAAGAAGAAGTCTTAGATCAAGTTAATACTATCATGTTTGAAGGCCATGACACCACAGCAGCTGGATCCAGTTTTGCTTTGTGCATGATGGGCATTCACCAGGACATTCAAAACAAAGTTCGACAGGAAGTCGATGAGATCTTCCAAGGTTCCGACAGGGAATGCACGTTTGCAGACACTTTGGAGATGAAATACTTGGAGAGGGTTATCATGGAAACTTTGAGGATGTACCCACCAGTACCTTTGATTGCTAGACAGTTACAGGAAGAAGTTGAATTACGTTCTGGAAAATATTCTCTACCAGTTGGTGCAACAGTGGTTGTGGTCCAAGCTGTGCTCCACCGCAGGCCTGATGTCTTCCCTAACCCTGATGTCTTCAACCCGGATAATTTCCTTCCAGAAAAATGTCAAGACCGTCATTACTACAGCTATATTCCATTCAGTGCTGGACCACGTTCCTGCGTGGGTCGTAAATTTGCCATGTTGAAACTCAAGGTTCTTCTATCCACTATCTTTAGGAAGTACCGTGTTCACTGCGACATGAAAGAGGAAGACTTCAAGCTGCAAGCTGATATTATCCTGAAAATCGCTGATGGTTTCAACATCAGGTTGGAACCTCGCACGGATATTCCATGCTGCTAAACACATTCAATCCAGATGATTACTCCACACCTGCTATGACAATGACTTCTTAATTTTATCCATAAAATTATTTCACTCAAAATTTATACTAGTCTCAACAAATGATTACTTTTAGTATTTATTAGCGTGATGTTATATTTTGTAAAAAAATTCTGTTGAGATTTTATGTAAATATGTTTCGCTTACTTTGAATTTGAATAACGAGCATAATTTTTTTCTGCATTTCGCATGGGGAATTAAATAAACAACATGTGACAGAAAGCAAACAAGTTTTAATCGAATCATACACTATGATTACGCAATTCAATCAAACTAATGAAAATGATGACGATGATTACCATTAATTTGCATCTAAATCCTTAAAGTTTTCGGTATAAAAACTTCGTCGTCTCCGGAGATCAGTACTGTGGTGCTCAGTCATCAGTCAAGTGAAAAAATAAATCATGTCGGCAGAAGTGTCCCGACCCTCTTCGGGGCTGTTGGACAGCAACATGCTGTACTTCTTCCTGTCAGCTGCTGTCTTTTTGGTGGTTTATCATTATGGGCGTAAATATGCACGGATGATTCAGTTGTCTGCCAAAATTCCCGGACCGGATATTGTCACCATGTTGAAAATGAGTCTGGGCACGTTCTATGCTGAACCACATGGTAAGAACCCTTCAAATCATATTTTAAACAACGTAAATTAAATTATTTTTTTTAAAACTTAGATGTCTTCAAGAATACCTATGGCATGCTATCAAACTTCAAAGATATTGCCAAGGTGTGGGTAGGACCTAAACTGATGATCTTCTTGAGACACCCAGCAGATATTGAGTTGATTCTAAGCAGTAATGTTCATATTGATAAGAGCAGTGATTACGCCTTCTTCCGACCATGGTTTGGTAATGGTCTCTTGATTAGTACCGGTCCAAAATGGAAGCATCATAGGAAAATGATTGCTCCTACATTCCATCAAAGCATTTTGAAGAACTTTGTTGCTACTTTCTATAACAACAGCATCAAAGTGACGAACAAAATGAAGAAACACAATGGGAAGACTTTTGATGCTCATGACTACATGAGTGGCACCACTGTTGATATTTTATTGGAGACTGCTATGGGCTACAATGTACCAAGAAGTGAAGAAACAGGTCATAACTATGCTATGGCCGTTGTAAAGTAAATAATCAATACCCATTTAAATATAAAGCAGTATAAAGCTAATTATATCAAAAATAATTTTTAGGCTTTCGGATATTATCCATAGACGTCATTACAAAGTCTGGCTCCGACCTGATAGTCTCTTCCACAAAACCAAGTACGCTTTGGAGCATTCCCGATTGCTTAGTATTGTAACAGGTCTAACAAGCAAAGTTGTCCAAAACAAGAAGAAGGATGTCCTTAAAAAGGAGTGGAACGTATGGAGACCTTCACTGATGTTACAAATGACCCTCTTCCCAATGGCGATACTGTTTCCCACAGGAATTATGGAATTAGAGATGATTTGGATTACAACGATGAAAATGATATTGGTCAGAAGAAACGTCTTGCATTCTTGGATCAACTCACTGTGAATGCTCAACGTGATGATGTCGACTTTACTGAAAAAGAAGTGATGGATCAGGTTAATACTATCATGTTTGAAGGTCACGATACCACCGCCGCTGGGTCCAGTTTTGCTCTTTGTATGTTGGGTATCCACAAGGATATCCAAGAGAAATGTATCCAAGAAATTGATGATATATTCCAAAAATCTGACAGGGAATGCACTTTTGCTGATACTTTAGAAATGAAATATTTGGAAAGGGTTATCATGGACACTGAGGATGTACCCACCAGTGCCTGTGATTGCTAGACAGTTAAAAGAAGAAGTTAAATTGGCTTCAGGAGATTACGCGTTACCAGTGGATACCACAGTGGTTATTGCTCAGACCTTATTGCATCGCAGACCTGATACTTTCCCGAACCCTGATGTTTTCAACCCGGATAATTTCTTACCAGAGAAGTGCCTGGATAGACATTACTACAGTTATATCCCATTCAGTGCCGGACCACGATCATGCGTCGGGCGTAAATTCGCCATGTTGAAATTAAAAGTTATGCTGTCTACTATTTTGAGGAACTGCAGAGTCCACTGTGATATTGCAGAGAAGGACTTTAAACTGCAAGCGGATTTGATTCTGAAGATGACAGGAGGATTTAATATTCGCGTTGAGGAACGTAAGGATGTTCCAGTGCAACTTATTAAAGCATAAAATGAAAAACTGAAGAAATGATAACAAAACCTGCAATGAAAATGATTTGAATTTTGAATTATGTAGAATTTAGATGAGTTTGCAATAATTTTTCTGATGTTCAAGTAAAGCTATAATTAAAGGCATATTTGACAGAATAATATTGGTTCATTGACTTATTGAACAGGTTCTTTTGTCAGTTTATCTTGATCGCGTAGAATTCATTGACCAGCGACCCACATAGTGCACCTTTTCAATTATCTGACTTGTACTTTTCGATACCCTGCTCCATTTTACTTTGATGTGATATTTTATTGCTGGGCGAGGTTGCTTTGATAATTAATCAATTTTTAAAACAATTGTAGAGTAAATTGTTGGACGAGAGTACGATTGATTGGATTGTCAGCTTCACGGCGAGTGTAAATGCAAATGTCGGAAACACATTATTTTGTAGATAGTCTAAGCAAACTGCTTTCACTCAAATGCGTTTTCAGCGTTTTCAATTACTTACAACGACATAACTCCACAAGAGTTTGCTGTACCAATGAAGTTGTACGATTGTGTGGATTATTTGACAAGCAAGCAGCGGAAACAAATAACGATTTGCTTATTCGTTTGGTATACGACTACGTCAACATAAAAGTTAGTTAAAATTTGCGGAACTTGGACAATCTGCCACTAGGTATCATATCAACAATTAAAAAATAAAATTTAATTAAAAACTAGGAGACGAGTAAAATAGAAAGAATTTTTTATAATATTTTTAACCAAATTTTACTTTAACATCGAAAATACTCTCAGGTTTACTCAACTTTACTCAAGTATCAAAATTGATCGCTCCATCCAAAGAAAATTTACTAGCGACATACGAAAGACACACAGGAACATATTTGGACCAGGTTATCAGCGTGGATTTTATTACGTTTTTATCTTTTTCGCCAACAGCGCAAAAATAAAATCGGTAATTTCAGGCAAAATTTATTTTCGATGTTTTCGCTGTTTAAGCTTCGATAAAACTTCAACATAATACGCAATAAAACAGGATTATTTGCGAAAATACTATATAATTAACTAATATTATTTCATGCTACACTGTAATCGTATTAATTAAAGTTTTTATTCAACAGGCTAAATTTTCTTCAATTCCATACTGGTTATTAACTGTTAAATATAATAAACAGTTGAAATTGATTACATCGCGTGCTTTCTCCTCATCAATTAGGCTCATTAATTAACAAATGTCAAAGTGGTCTACGGATCGAAAACGCACAATGGAACACTGATAAAAACATTAAAACATTTTGAGCACCTCATGTGTAAATACGTGTTTGATCAATGGGAAAAAACACAACGCAACTCACGTACAAATAAACTTTTTAGTTGTCATAGAAGAAACTGCAAAGTAAGTTACACAAAAGTCTAAAGTAAAAAGTGGAAAGTTTGTTTGAAATCAATTAAATTGGAGTACCAGAAGGAAAAAAAGATTCCTGTCTGATGGATGAGTTTTTTTTTATCCACATAAATGATATCCATCTTTAATTAGGTTTAAATTGAAGATTAAACAAATAAAGTGGAATAAAATCAAAAAGTGTTATAATAAAAGTTATTATGCTTTCTGTGGAATAAAAAAGTGGGTTAATTAAAATTTATTAAGTGAAAAATATCATAACATTTAAAAAAATCTCTAATTTTACTTATTAACTAGTGTTTTAAAGAAAAAAACACTGAAAACTATTTTTATTAATAATTTATTATTTTTACCTCACGTCTGAGAACAACTACTGTCTACTTAGTATAAATCACGTTTCGCAAAAGTGCAAGTCCTGTTTCCGTCACGCTGTGAGCTTTACAGTTTACGAGAGTATATATGAATATGTGTCGAAGCTCCAGTCCACGTCTCCAAGCTGCGAGCGAAGAAATTCCTGCGTTAACAAGCAGCAAAGCACGGAACGCCGAAATGGTGGAGGTGCCGAGCGCATGCGGACCAACCAGCCGTAGATTTCGCGCCGAAGTCATTCAGTGTGTGGCAAGCGGAGCAATTCGCAACACGTCAAGCGAATACTGCTGAAATTTATTAATAAAAAAAAATTGCCGGCATTACAGAGAAAATTAATTAAATTTAAGGACAATATAAGTGATGTGGTGTTCAATTTGTGCTACTATGTGTCAATATTTCTTCTTTTAATATAAAGGTGAGTAAACTATAAAAATATTTATTTTTGTTTTAATAAAGTTGTACATTATAAATCAACGGTAAATGTCAATAAATATTTGATACAAATACCGGCAGGACGCCGTAAAGTATCGCTGGATGGTTTATTAATAATGGAAGTGTCCCACTGAGCGCACAGTTTAATTTTGTCTTTATTTCTTGGGTAATTAATTGATAATTAATAATATTTAATAATATTTAATTGGTTTTTTAGTGGAAATTTAGTTAAACTGAATTTACAACTTAATTTTTATCCGTAATATAAAAATTTGCTTAAAAGCAAAAAGTTTTAATACTTTTTCTCTACAGAACAATAAAAAAGTGACAATAAAATACTTTGTTTTTAACTTATTACAGTACAAAAGTTTTAATGCTTATTAATATAATTTTTAGAGACTTTTATTCTCTATCAATACTGGATTTATTTACAAACAATTGTAAAATCCCCAAAATGTGGTACTACATAAAATTCCTTTCCAAAAACATACAATTTAAGCTCAGTAAAGCAATAAATGTTCGGTTAACCAGTGCTTCAACTTCTCCTCACACGTCTCGATAGCTATTCATATGAGTATGATTTTTTTCTGTTGCTATTCACCTGGTGGAAAAAAGAAATTCGACAGCATCGATTTATCACATCTCACGGCATTGCTTCAGCGCGTTTCTTAAAGAATGTTGAATGTGTTGGTTCGTTGCCTTTTTATTTATGTATTATATTTTCGTACAAAGCTTTGGCTCAAATTTCTCGTATACATCAAAGTGTTTTCGGCGAAGTAATGCCATGTAAAATTGAAGTTGATCATAAAATTCAAAGATAGCAATGTGGAAACAAAAATGTTTGTTGTTGTTGTTGTTGTTTTGAAGAATTTAATTGTATATTCAGCTTATGTGAATACAATTTGCTTGAGTGCTTGGTTATCCAACTGAGAAATTGTAATCATTTGAATCTGTACCACAGGAAATCATTATTTTTATTTGATTTTTTTTATTTATCACTTAAAATGCAATTAAACTCCAAAACAAGCATAATTTATTGCAATAACTGGCAGACGAATCTCATTTGCGTAATATACGAGTACGATGCTATATCCATCGAAGTCAAATCGTCCGCAAACACCGACTTCATGTATTTCCCTCGTTCGCCCTCATTTTTGGGCGTCCCTGTTTTGTGCGATTGCGCGTCTGTTTACGTCTTTTTTCATCCTGTCACGCACTCATACAAATTTCCATATCCATAGCATATACTCGTATGTACTGAAAATGCTCGACAATACCAGCGTAAGAAAGGCTGTTATCGTGGCGTATGGTAAGTTGAAATACGCGCACTGTGTACTTGTACGGTTAATGTAAACATGAAAAACTGCACGGATTATCTGCGCGCAGATTGTGCCCAACTTGCGCGAGTCGAGTCGAACAAAAAATTTTAATGGATCGTCATCTTTCCATCAGCGCAACGACATTCTATAAATATTTATTTTAATAAGTTATTTCAAGTATGCAAGTGAACAAATAATGCAAGAAATTATGTCTCGTTGAATAATTTCATGAACTTGGTATTTAATGTGTTATTTTGTTTAATATTGCAATTCGACTTGTGTTATTGTAGACCGCAGTGATAAGAAAATTCATAAAATGGCACAGGTATCGTCCTCGCGTGGCTTAAAATTAAACTAAATCGTATACAATCAAATGTTATTGTAGGTCAAGATATCAGTGCGATGTTTCTATTTGTTTATATTGCAATAGAATTTATTTTACGTGCTAACAAACTAACTTCTCTTGCAGTAAGCCGTGAATGATTAACTGCAGTTGGGGCAATGGAGTTGTAATGTTTTGATAAATTGTTTTAGATTTTAAATTAATGAGCTGCTATATATTCAATTAAAATTAAATTTTAATTAAATTAATTTAAATTAATTTTATTTACTTGTACATAATTGTTGCGCGTGCAAGAATAATCATTGCAAATACTGATTTACTTTTTGTTTATTGTCTTCTTAAACACAAATTTCGATTTACGCCAATATATTATTGTTAGAAGTGCGCATTGTAAACAAAACATGTTTCTTGCATGTTATTTCAATTTAACATATGAAATCGTAGACGATATAGATAAGAAAATTCAAGAAATGACACAACTAGCGTCCTCGCTTGGTTTATAAACTAAATCACGTTCAATCAACTGTCCTTGTTGGTCAAGATATCAATGCGATGTTTCTGTTTGTTTACATTACAACAAAACTTATTTTATGCCGTAATAAACTAATTTCTTCGGCACATATCCATGATTTAATAATTTCAGAAGTTGAAACAATTAAATCGTAATGTTTGTGTAAATTGTACAAGATTTAAAATGCATGGAATACTGTCATCCAAATATCTAAATTAATTTTTATTCATTGCCTTTAAATAATTTAATTAGGAGAAAAATTATAATAAATAATGTTTGAAGTTTGGTTCATTGTCTTCTTGATACCAATTTCTTTTTAATTCGATTTATTGTAAGAAATGCGCATTGTAAACACAGCAGTTTTTTATTTGTTGTTTCAATTCAACATGTGAAATCGTAGCCGACATAGATAAGAAAATTCAAGAAATGGCACAACTAGCGTCCTCGCTTGGTTTATAAACTAAATCACGCTCAATCAACTGTCCTTGTAGGCCAAGATATCAGTGTGATGTTTCTGTTTGTTTATATTACAACAAAACTTATTTTATGCAGTAAAAAACTAATTTCTCCCGCACATAGTTTGTGTACATTTTATTAGATTTTTTAATGCAAGGAATACTGTCTTCTAAATATCTAATTTAATTTTATTTTATTGTCAATTTAATAACGAGAAAAATTATTATAAATTATGTTTTAAGTTTGATTCATTGTCTTCTTGATTCCAATTTCTATTACTTCGATTTATTGTAAGAGATGCGCATCGTAAACCAAGCAGTTTTTTGTTTGTTGTTTGAATTCAACTAGTGAATTCATAGTCGACACAGAGAATAAAATTCATAAAACGACACAACTAGCGACCTCGCTTGGTTCAGCTATAAATGAAACTTCTTGCAATCAAATATTTTAGTAGTGCGTTAAATTAAAAGTAAATTTAACATTTTTTCACATTTTAGTGAAAAATATTGCAAAAATATTTTCTCCTACAAAAATATGTTTTTCTCATCAAGTATCTTCAGTTTACATTATTGTTATAAAATTAATTTTTAATATTTACATTCTCATGACATGTTGTTCTGCATACTCAAAACTCTTGCATAATAGACTGTGTCAGTGCTTACATATTTCAGTCTATTTGTTTTAAAACCTGATGATAGAGAGAAAGCAAACTTCTCATGCGTTCAAATATTCCATTATTACAATTTGTCATTTGTTATGAACCTCCCACACAAAATGAAACGTAATATTGAAATATACACCCTTGAGAGGAATGCAAACGTTATAATTTCAAGATTTTAAAATATATTGTCGGTGGAGACAAAGTGAATAATTAAAATTTGTTGTTTTAAGTGAATTTTTATGTGATATTGAATCGAGGCAGACAAGATATTTGTTAATATATTTGTTAATATTAAAATTCATATTTCTAACGTTAAACCTAAAATAACAAGGGATTTTTTGGCATGCAAACAACTTATCAAATCAAATTAAACCGTTGTTAGACCGCAATCCACAACCGCCGACTAATCAAAATTTACATAAGTACTGTTAGGTTTACGGTGCGTACGGTGCTTTGAACTCGAGTCACTTCTACCGCTACCTTCATACGGTGTCCTGAATTGAGTCATTTCTACCGCTAGCCTCGTACGGTGCCCTGAATAAAGTCACTTCTACCGCTACCTTCATACGGTATCCTGAATAGCTCCATAGACCTAAAATAAAAAAGGATTTTTTGGCATGCAAACAACTTATCAAATCAAATTAAATCGTTGTTAGACCGCATGCCACAACCGCTGACCAATCAAAATTTACATAAGTACCGTTAGGTTTATGGTGCGTACGGTGCTTTGAACACGAGTCACTTCTATCGCTACCTTCATACGGTGTCCTGAATTGAGTCATTTCTACCGCTACCCTCGTACGGTGCCCTGAATAAAGTCACTTCAACCGCTACCTTCATACGGTATCCTGAATAGCTCCATAGACTTAAAATAACAAAAAAATTTTTGGCATGCAAACAACTTATCAAATCAAATTAAATCGTTGTTAGACCGCAATCCACAACCGCCGACCAATCAAAATTTACATAAGTACCGTTAGGTTTAATTTATTTTTGGTGAAAACAAAAGCGGTATTATACATTTGGACATATCCAAATGAATTGTGGATTACTGCATAAATATTTGCGGTACTCGTAAATATAGTTCAATAATATTTCGTTAATTGCTTAGTCTATAGCTAAGTGAATTACGAGTACCCAAAACATTTGTACATTGTAAATAAGCATTCGACTCTTTGTCGCTTTGCAGCTTGTTCACAACTCGTTCGATGCTCGGATGATGTGTACCTAATTGTATTATGCAATTACGCCATTATGAGGCGCGGATGCGCTCAGCAGAACGATGAGAACTTCGCGCTCAAGAACTTGTGTTGCAAAGTATGCCGAGCGCGGAAATTGTTGTGGTTTTGTTAAACACCACCGACGTTCACACAATGTTAAACAATTACATTCATTACTTAAATGCGCTTAATTTACATTTGCTGAAACTCAAAATAGCCGTGGGTTACCTTAAACTTCAAAAGCAACATACAGTAAAACATTGTATGTAAATTATAGAAAAACCTATTAAATGTAGTGTTTATCTAATAAAGTATTTTGTATTTTATAGATGAACTTATTTGGAATAGTTTTTTAATAAACAAAGTTTGTCGCAATATTCTTCAGATAAATTGAAATCACTTTTTATCTATTTTACATTGACGAGTCAAGCCACAACTCTATAAAATAGATGCAGAGTGGTGAATCGAGGGGTGAATTGTGGGGCTGCAGAAAAGTGATAGCAGAAACTGCATTGCAGTGCACTTTCCGCTTTGAAGTCCGCTTTTGACAAGGAGGAAATCGAAGTGAACTTAGCGAATTTTGTGCAGTAAAGTGATGGAATATACATAGACACATTTATACTAGCTACATTTCTTGTCTATATATATTTATATATTGATAGTCGGTGTAGATGGCAGAAATTGTACCCATTTTTAAGAAGATCAGGAAAATTGGAATTGTGACAGCGTTAAAACCATTTGAAACACTTCACGTAAAGTGCTTTTAATATAAATTTTGTTTCATGTTTTAGACAGTTTGTGAATTATATTGATAGACTTAAATATGCTGTTTTATTTTATATTATGAATGATAACATGAATGATAATTGTGGGTGAGAATTGTGGGTGGTTGCACGGTTGGGTTTGTAGGTCTCTTAATTAAACTTGTACACACAGAAACAGCAAGATTTTCGAATAGTTGTCATAGTTCACACGAAGTAATTAACCACAGGAGCTTAATTAGTAGACCAATATCTACCACGCAGCCTAGTGCAATTCAGTCAAGGTTGCGGCATTGAATTTATTTATTAACGAGCAAACAGGTCAAATATTGGCTATATCTCATGGATTAAAGGAGATAGACATGAACGGATTTCAGATTCTTAATCTACGGAAAATTCTGATTTGAATAGAAATTTAAGAGATGAAATTCATAAGAAATTCATAAGAAAAAAATGGGCTTATGAGAGTCTGGTATATATTCATTCACGTACGGTACCCTGAACACGAGTCACTTCAACTTTACGAGGGTACCCCAAATGGGAGTCACCTCTACCGCTGCCTTCGTACGGTGCCTTGAATCGAGTCACTTCTACCGCTAGCCTCGTACGGTGCCCTGAAATGAAAGGGAGTCACTTCTACCGCTACCTTTGTATGGTGCCCTGAACAGGAGCCAATCAGCTACAGTAAATCGAATGAGACCCAACTATACAATTGCGATTAATTGCAATATAACTCATAAAACAAATAAAAATCAACGTAAAAGCGGTAGAAAGAATCATATTGAAAATTATTAATCGCAACCTTGTGCACAAATTGCAATAGACAAAACTGCTAATCTTATTGATAGAATTGACTCTTACTACGAGTATGTCTAGAACAAGAGAGTAAAAACGAATTACATTTTTATTAAACACTGCCGGAACGAAGTCGCGGGCAACTCGTATTTAAAAAAAAATTAATACAAAATTGAAGAATTACTTTTTTTGTAGTTACAGGCACTAATCATTATTGAAATCTAAATTTGCTAAGTGCGCAATTAATTTGATGGCGGTTTTAATACCCGAGTCATGTACAAGTCACTAGTAGATGTAATTATTAGAGTTAATTCAACCAGTAGGCGATAGTGCCAAGGAACAGGGCTTGCAGCTAAGCGGGCTTTCCTGCTTCACGTTAAGTACACCGTATAATTAATGCAGGCACATGGAGCACTACCTTGGCTTCATCAGAGAAAGTCGCCACAAGCGCTTTCCCAACAGATGCAATTCACATCATATTCTATTGTAGTTGATGCTATTGATTATGAAAATATCAACGTGAACTATTCCATATTCAAATATAAACATTTGGTGAATCTCCATTATTTATTAATTAATTAAATAATTCATATTTCAACCAGAAATTACAATGTGCTGATAAAATAAAGGGAAGCATTAATAATTAAGGAATTAATTAGTGTGTAGCTACACTAAGCTTAAAAATAACGTCTGTTATTCAATTTTTTTCGTACGTGGCAGCATTTGCAATTTTTTATTTTTGCGTTCTTCTTTTTTAGCATTTACAAAGGACATCCGGTTGGAGGGTACTTTCCTTTGTTCGAATTTTAACTTTCGTTGTGTGTATTTTTTTGTGTTATTTCAAGTATTTTCTTGATGTATTCCTGTGACTTTTGATGTTTAATGAATAATTAATTTGTAGCAAAAAACTTTGAGTGTCGAAAAAGAAATTGTCAATAAATTTGGAAGATGTTTTCACGATTAAAATAAGAATGTGAATTTTACTTTATATTCAATGAACGCAATTTCAAAGTATAATAGAAAGCAGTTATTTTTTCAGTTGGTCACAGAGCAATATCTTTCTTCACAGGTCACAGCTGTTAATGTGCCAGCAGTCACCATCTGACAAATGTTTTTGTCACCAAAGTTTCGCCAACTTTTTGAGACAGAAATTTTTAACTTTCTATATCGCTCAGTGGGTATAACGATTAGCACTTTTTTCTTGTTATAAACAAGCATAAAACAATTCTAATTTACTAAAACTGGAAATAACTAAATTTCTCTTTCATTAAGAATTTAGGTCATTAAGGAAATGGAACAGTAGTTAATAGAAATAATGCTATAAAATAATTTTGACCTAAATTTGAGTTTATTCAAATTATTCAGGCAAAATATTATGTTTCACTACTATACATTAATTAATTCTTACACAGTAACAAATAATGATAACAATTAATTTTAATTAATGGTTAAATTAGTGAATAATAAACAATATTGAATTTTGGTTTGAAATCATTTAATACGAAATATTCTGATTTTAGCTTGCGATAAGAATAAAACAGATTAAAATAAGCGTGTAAATACATAGGATGGTTATTTATATATTATGAATTCTCTCTGCATTCACCATATGCTTGCATAGGGTTGATTACAGAACTGCCGAGCGTTTTACGTTTCCGTTCACGTAACCAACAAAATAAAGTGGCAAAGGGTGATGAGGGGGCATTGAAAAGATGAGTGGGATCCCACCAGAGCGGAAGACGCATGTAAATGTAAATGTGATTTCTGCGTATGTGAGAATTTCACAGAATACTAACACATTTTTTTATAAATTCGTAAAAACTCATGACAACAAAAAAAATAATCTAGGAAAGATAAATTTGATTCTAATTGTAAATTTTGTGTTTCTGATTTTTAATCCATAAATCATTTTTTTGGGCTGAAAATTACAATTTTTCTCAGCCAATTAAAAACCAGCCTATAATACCTATACCTCTGACATTGAAATGACTTTGATTGCTAATTTACATGTGTAACGATTTTTTTTTTCATAAAAGTCTTTTTTCCTTGAGTATTATTAAGCTTATTTAGGTTATTATATGATCGGCATGACCGGAATATATTAAATAAAAAATATCAAAGGTCGCATTAAAATTATAAATTTATCATTCGATGCCAAGAGCGAAAGTTTGCAAAAGAAGCAAAAACGGATATTAAAAATGTGACGGCTAATAAGTTTACCCGCTACTTAGACACGAAACATTTTTCACTTTCAATTTTTAATTTGCCGCGTGCAAACTTGCTTTATGCGCGGCTTTGTAAACACATTTTGTATAAATTGCATTAAATTGTCTTGGAAACTCCCAGTGAATAAATAAAACTCGAAAACATTTAAACAGTAAAAGCTTACTTGAGGAAGTTTTCGGCTAATGTACGCCTTGAATGGTGATGTAATGGGATGCGAGATCAAACACTTGCACTTTCAAGGGCAAAGGCTCCAAACTCTAAGGCCTATTTTAGGTTAAACATTTGGGTTGGTGGCAGCGCCCATTGCCCGGCGCTGCCACCAAAGGCAAAAGTTGTCACCGCGAGCCCAAGGGTCACAGAAAAGCGGATGTAATCCTTATATTTATCAGATCTCATGCGTTTGGGTTAGATTTTTGTGGACAGTTGGTCGTATTACGTCTTTAGTTTGATTTAAAACAAAAATTCTGAGTATTTTTAAAATTTTTACTATTTTTATAAATATTTACTGTAAAATACACACAATTTCTATGAATTGAGTTAAATATGTGCATTTTAATGTGTGCTTCCAACTCATTACAGGCATTCAGAGGGGCAACATTCAAAACCCCTCAAATCCAATATTCCAACCCTTATCGCACGCAATGGATATGGAAACAGACGGATATACTTCAGCCGTTTTAGCCGCGTCATGGCCAAACCTGACTTACTTAGAGCCGCCTGCGGAACAGCCAGAATATCCCCAGCGACAGCGAGTGCCAGTACTGCCATCGTCATCAGAAACCTAAGCACTGTGGCGGACATTTCCACTCGTGTATTAACAGCGGTGGGAAATTCAACGATTATCGCCAGCAGCACCGCCGCGTCCGATAATGCGTTTGAAAGCAAAATTATAATTCCACTCTACGTCATCATTTTTATGCTGTCGATGGTTGGCAATACAATGGTGCTATTCACCCTCTTCCAGAATAAACGTATGCGGACCGTTACGAATGTATATTTAGTTAATTTGGTGAGTTTGATTTTGATATTTATTATGTAACTAGCTGTTGCCCGCGACTTCGTTCCGGCAGTGTTTAATAAAAATGTAATGCGTTTTTACTCTCTTGTTCTTGACATACTCGTAGTAAGAGTCAATTCTATCAATAAGATTAGCAATTTTAATTTAAAGAAATTATGCATATAAAGTTTTGTCAATAATGCACTTCAGCGCGCCATCTCGAATTCAACTATTTAACTGTAACTATGATTGAATTTCAATGTCAAATTTTATTCTATAGAAAAAAGCTGTTTTGAGGATTTTCCCGGCAATTATTCGAATTTTTCTCACCTTTTAAACCTTCCCTAGACCTCCACGAATAATTCAAGACCAAGATAAGATAAAGCCGTTCACGAGTTTTAGCGAGACTAACGAACAGCAATTCATTTTTATATATATAGATATGTTGTTGATTGTCAGAAATTATTTAAATTTAATTGACATTCTCAGAGTAAGGTCGCTGAACTAACTTTAATTACGCAATTTGGGCGTTCATTAGAGCCATTACATAATTTCGTGACAACCTTGGGTGGGTCAATTATTCTGGTTATTAGATTCAAGAAATTTCATTATCTATTCATAATAAATTCAGCTCAAAACAAAAATATTGTAAATAATGCTCTGATTTTACTTAAAAAATTTTTTTTTTTATTTGCTTTCAATATTTCTGATTTCCATATTTTGTTGTATATCAATAAAAAACCTGCTGCTCATATTGTTCCCACGCGTTGTCATATTGTCTTCAAGTTACCCGTATCGGAAATTTGCAATATTTGATAAACGTCAGTGAAAATATCATTTTATTTTGTTCTGCGTCAATATATTTAATATACCTACACATACCCATAGTAAATATCAATTTTTAAATATTTTTGTGATTCAAAACTTTATTACAACGTTATAATTAAAATCAATATCCACAGCAAAATAAAATGATTTTTTGTGGACTATATTTTTTTTATTCACTTGCTTCCTTTGTTTTCTTTTACTTCATATAAGTATTGAATTTTCCAGCCAAAAACCCAACAACCAGAAATTGTCAGAATTTTTGTCAAGTGTACTCCCGGAGTACTCGTCCAATATGAAACAAAACCAAAAATGTAATATTGCTTGTGTGGTGATATATTGTTTCCTGACATTTCGAAACAAACGAAAAACCATTCATTTTAATGTTTATTGTTCTAGGCAATATCAGATCTTCTCCTTGGGGTGCTTTGCATGCCGTTCACTATCGGTCAAGTGCTACGGAATTTCATCTTTGGCGCCATCATGTGCAAGTTGATTCCTTACGCCTGCTGTATTTTTTGATATTTTATTGACGAAAGATTTGATGGAATACAACATTCCAAATGTTAACTTCGCTTCCTGCAAAATAATTATAAGAATTTAGTTTTAATTTGGATGTAATTACAGATTTTACCTCTTCACGTGTCATTCCAGCTTGTTTCACACGGTTCCATTCGTGGTAATAGAGTAGTGAGCCTTTGTGATCAAAAATATAAATGTTATGAATCGTCATTTTAATGAATTTGTTGTTTTTTCACTTGTCAAAAGTATGGGATGATTTTGTAGGGTTATGGAACTGTCAAAGTGACATTAAGGTAAAAACTTAATGTTTTTTGGGAGTTTTAAGGTAAAATATGTGATAATACATTCATTATCTCTGTAAATTCATTAATATTTGTCTTTTGGTGGGTCAGAAAGTCATAATTTGCTGAAAATTTGAAGATAACACAGGTTTTTGATTTGTGCTGCCACTAGAGGACGCTAGTGGTACGATGAAATAATATTTCGCCGCGGTCGCAGTCGAGTTGAGCATCTCGCCGAGCGCACACAGCGCGCACACCACCCGCCTGTCGCTGTCCGTGTGTGGCGAAATGTGAGTCGAGCGACCGCGAGTGAGTGGCTGGTCGGCTGCTCGTGCGCGCTGCTGCTGTGTGCTGCCTTCAGATTCGAATCAATTAAACTTTCTATTCGAGCCGTGCGATAAACGCGATCGGACGGGCGCGCTCGCTGTCAAATCATCATCATCCAGGCGAAAAACTAAAACAGTGCGCAATCCCGTGCGCAATAAAGTGCAATAATACCAAAAGCAGACAATAGTGTTGCGTGCGTGAGTGCAGTGTGTAATCAAAAGCAAAGTGCACGCCGAATACGAATCGAATCGCATCAATTTCGGGGTTGAATAATATCATATCGGGCGATTATTTGACAATTTACGCTGGGGAAACAAGTGCGGTGCAGATTTACTGCGCTATCACGTCAGAGGTGCGTGTGCATCTTCGTCTGGCGCGTGCGCGCCGCGTCTATCGTTCGCGCTCGTGTTCGATCGCGAGCGCGCGTTCGTCTCGCTCGCACTCGGCCCGCTTCGTGTGCCCGATCTGGCGACGTCGCTTCCGTACGTCAGCTGGTGGCCTGGTGGCGAAGTGCGACAGAGTAGGCAGAAATGGCGGCGCTCTGTCCAGGTGTTCAGTATGGCCTGTCATCGCAGGAGAGTTTCGGCGAGAATAAGGATTTAATCTTCGTCAAACTAACAGACTCGGCCCTGCGTACCATCGAAGAGTTTCTACGTAATCAGGTGAGTTTTATCTCTACACAATTTCGGAATTATTTTCACCCATCATCTCCGTGACTCTGTGTGTGTATGCGCATGCGTGCGAGTGTGTGCGTGACGACTTGACCGTGCAATGGCAGAGTTAGATAAGTCGCCATGTTTCCGATGACTTATTAACCTAATATCGCATTTTCTACCCGATTCCGCACGGCGCAAGCCTGCGGATTACCTCGCTCACCTCCATATCTACCCGTGGTGCAAGTTGTGCGCGTTTGCACCGAGCGAATCGCTCGCAAATGGCGTGCGAGCCGCGCGAGCCACGTCAACATATTGTCGCGTTTTTCGGCGATTTGCAAACAACTAAATCATTCATCCGCACACCCACAGGGCGGTAAGAGATACACAATCATAAAATCCGAAAAAACAGTTGCAAAGCCACAGAGACAGTGCGCAATACACAACAACGCTGCGCGAGCCTTTAAATGGTCGCTTTTCACAACACAGCGCAGCCGATGACACCCGACCACCTGAATTATATTCACTTTTCGAGTGTGTTTTGCCTTTTCGTGCATTATTTTTAATGGCGGCCGCATTTGTTTTATTTTTACACCGTGTACAAAAACATTCGAGGTTAATATCTACCGAGAAAATTTCCGAACAAATACACAGTTTTGGAAAAAAGCATGAATGAATTTTGTACAACACCTGCCTGTTACCTACCGGCAGATGTTTCATTTTAGGGTCGTGTAGTCGACAATTGCAGTGGTGGCTCGGGTATTGCCCCTTTATGAATAATAAGGTAGGTTCTTTTACCTGTTGAAGACTTCTCCTCAACATGGAAAAGCAACAGCAACCGAAAAACGAGTTCTTATCAAATTAGACCGAGATTTTCGTGTTGATATTAATAAATAACCTTGACGTGTCCTTGAGATAATACACTTTACTTATTTGTAGGTGTTTTATACTTTTGCATCAAGAATTAAAGAGTTGTCAAGACAAAAAACATTTATTTATAAATAAACCGTTGGGTGTGTTTGTGTGTGTGTGGCTCGTGAGTGACCAAGGTCCTTTTCGAAGCCATGGCTGAATTTTGTTGTGTTGTGTTGTCCAAAAAGCGTGCAAAATGTCGGTTCACGGCGAAACACACTCACAACGAGTTTTTGTTGCAAGAAGAATCGTGTAAATATTTAAAAAAAACCGAAAAATTGTGTTGCATATCGAGTGGAATTGATGAAGTAATTAATTTTTTAGCACACACGATGTCGATTGCAACAGCCACACACACATACATGGCTAAAACAGTGTCAATTGTTGAATAATTTGTTGTTGTTATTTATTTTATGCTGGTAGATGGCACGAATGTATCGGAATCGGTGTCAGATATTAATTTATCGGAAGTAAAGTTAGGTCGGAAATGGGAGATAAATTCCGGTCGCGCGTGACCTTGTGCATTATAATATTTTTTATTTCGCTTTGTGTCAATCAGGCGCAGGTATGTCTTATCGCGGTTTATTTATTAATTAATTGTTGGTGTGAGTGTTGTGTTGTTTTACGGCCGTGACGCTTTTAATAATTGCAAAGTTTATCAACTTCTCTGTGTGTATGTGTGTGTGTGTGTGTGTGTGTGTGTTATTTACACCTTGGATGGCTTGTATCAGCAATACAATGTTTGCTCAATGTAATGTGTAACATTTATAAAATAAATGAGCATTCAAATTGTGCGCGCGCGTAACCACAAAAATATTTTGTAAGAAGTTTAGAAAGTCACAAACACCCGATATCGACGTAATGCGGCTGCCCGACCGCGGCCGGTCTGTCGCGACAAATTGAGAATTAACCAAATAAAAAAATTAAAAATAATTTCGTTGAAGAATAAAAAAAAGAAAAAGAAAAATAATCATCGGTTGAATGAGTTGAAATTTTGAGTTTTTCTTTGGTATTTATTGGTTATTTTTATTTTTTATTTACAACAATAATATCTGAGTGAGTTATTGAACAATTTGCGTAATAATGATGACGCGAAATGTTGCTACAATTGCACATTTATTTTATTTGTTGATAGTTATGTTATTACGTCACTGTCACCATCGCGTATTTGTTTTTAAAAAATACCCGATGTAATGCAGCGTAATGTAACGTAATCTGTTTGTGTTTAGTTACGTTTAGTGTAATTTCGTGGGAGGTGGAAGTAGTGACGTTGTGTGTGACGTCTGACGTCGTTGGAAGCATTCGAGATTCACCTCGTCGTCGTCGTCGTTGTGTTATGTGTGTGTATGTTTTTTTCCTTGCGTCAACACGCACGTTTTCAATGGCGAATATACAATCTGTCTTTTCAGCAGCCGGCGCGCGCTCGGTAATTAAGCTGATAAAGTCGACCGCGATATTTGGATGTATTAGCGTGTGTGATGTTTGTAAACATCATGGGCTTTTTCACTTGTTTGGGTTCTGGGTGCCGGGGAAAAACACGCGCAATGTTGGGTCAGCGGGGAATTTACATGTAATTTACTTTGTTATCGGTTGAATTTTATGAGATAAGATTACGGAAATACACACAGAAGGGATTTTTCGATGATTTTATTTAAAACTAATGGATTATTGTCGAATACAATTTGTTGAGATAATAATTTTATTACTTATGCACTAATAAAATTAAATAAAAGATAAAATTTTATATATCTAAGCGTAGGCGGTGTTTTTTTTCTCTGTTGCTTTGTAGACAAATAAACAACATTCAATTAAATATTGATTAATCTAGTTTTAGTTTTTGCGTTAACATTCCGATGGCGATAAGACTAGTCGAGCAGGTTGTTACTTCACCCGTGCCACGGCATACTTAAATATTAATTAGCACTTTGTAATAATATCTACAATGTAAAAATCGCCAATTTGCGCATATTTTTCTTTACATTGTTGCAATAAGGGTAATGTTAGGTATTTTTATGATTGACATGCAGGCTGGGTGATTGTAGATTTATTGGTTTGTGACATAACGCGTGATTTTGTGTAACGAAAAGAAAGGAGCCACATTGTTTGTCCTTGGATTGTATGCGCCGCGCTAACTTGGTCACTGGTCAACACTTACTTACCACTTTCCCTACAAGTCGTCATCACGTGATTATCATTTGTCAATCATTGTGATAATAATAATAAAATTTAAAAAAAAATTAAAAAAAACACAATTATAGATTAAATAGATTAATTAAGTATCTTGCGCATGCGCAGTTATAAAAAGGGCGGAGCATACGCATTACTTAAATGTGATTTTGCGTATTTTTGGTAAATTTTGAAAAATTTAAGACAATTTTTCCAAAATATTTTAATTTATTGTTAATGATATAAGATATAATCGCAATTAAAATATAAATAATTAATTTTTTGCTCGAGGTTTTAAATATTTTATTTTCCAGCTTAGAAAACATGATTGTTTCTTATACCTGCGATAAATTTAAATTATTTGTTATTTTAATAGTTATTAAACTTGATTAGCTGGTAAGTTGGTTACAGGATGGATGGATAGTCATTGTGAAAGTACTCGCAAGTCGGCACTCTCCAAAAAATGCCGCTCGGCGCGTTACTACAGCAACAAGTTTAATAATAATAACAATAACTAAATGTTGGTTACAAGTCGCTTGCTGTGCCGTGTTGGAAAGCACTTTTTTCCTCTCTTCGCTTCTTTTCTCTCCTCGATCTCTTGCATGTTTAATTTCCGATTTGCACGCTTACACCTAATATTCGGCGTTCGGATATAAAAATCCCATCGATTTTTGAAGGTGGTAAAAATTGGTTTCGAAATAAATCGAGCGTAACGCGCTCCGATTCGTTTGTGTTATTTTTGTTTTTCTGACTTCCGTGACCTACTGCATGTGCGCACGCGCAGCACGCTGCTCGGAATTGTTAAATGTGTAAAATTTAAATGTTATGTTGCTGCTGCGGCGGTGCGGCTAAGGCAAAAATTGAATAACGTGTGTTGTACGTCACTGAAAAATTTATTCATTTGAATGTTTGAGCTGTGTGTGTGTGCGGTGTGGAGTGAACGTGTGCGGCCGATGTGCCGAAGCGGAATTCATAATAAAACTTTCTCTCCCCGGGACGGTGTTTTAAATTATTACTTAAAAAAAAAACTGCAAAAATGTTTGTAAGTTTTGCGCTTGCATCGTATGAAAATGTGTTGGATTTTTTACGATTTGTAGTAAAAATGATTACAATTCGACCGGAAACGTGAACAATTACTCGAAATTGGTTAGTTTTACTTAAGTGTGTGTGTGAGTATGGAAGACGCAAAGGACGTTGGCGAACAAAACGCACACAAGATTGTGTAATTAAATCTGGTTTTTACGCCGCGCAGAGTGTCTACGTGTGCTGGCGTTCTCCTTGCGCGCAGGCGAACACAAACGCGCGTTTTGAATTTACATTATATAAGTTAATTGCTTTATAATAATCTAGCCATCCGTGCGTTTATTGCCGGCGTCGATTCTAGCATATTCTCTCCTATTCTCTATTGTATTTTTGTATTTGTATTACTTAAGTTCGGGTTTTGAAGGCGTCTGAAAAATGTTTATTTTTATTTTTTTTGAGGTTGTTTAGTGCATATTCTGTCTGTATGCTCGCTGGGTTGGTTATTTAATTTTAATTATGCGACTCGGCGCCGTGCGGCATTTTCTGCGCGCAGTGTAATTGCTTTGACATTATCGAGTGCGCGCGCGAATGTGCGCCGGTGTGTGCAATTTGTAAGATCTGCGTTTTTGATTACACCTCTTCACTAGAAGTCCGCTTTATTATGTAACTAGCTGTTGCCCGCGACTTCGTTCCGGCAGTGTTTAATAAAAATGTAATGCGTTTTACTCTCTTGTTCTTGACATACTCGTAGTAAGAGTCAATTCTATCAATAAGATTAGCAATTTTAATTTAAAGAAATTATGCATATAAAGTTTTGTCAATAATGCACTTCAGCGCGCCATCTCGAATTCAACTATTTAACTGTAACTATGATTGAATTTCAATGTCAAATTTTATTCTATAGAAAAAGCTGTTTTGAGGATTTTCCCGGCAATTATTCGAATTTTTCTCACCTTTTAAACCTTCCCTAGACCTCCACGAATAATTCAAGACCAAGATAAGATAAATCTGTTCAGCCGTTCTCGAGTTTTAGCGAGACTAACGAACAGCAATTCATTTTTATATATATATAGATATGTTGTTGATTGTCAGAACTTATTTAAATTTAATTGACATTCTCAGAGTAAGGTCGCTGAACTAACTTTAATTATGCAATTTGGGCGTTCATTAGAGACATTATATAATTTCGTGACAACCTTGGGTGGGTCAATTATTCTGGTTATTAGATTTCATTATCTATTCATCATAAATTTTGCTCAAAACATAGATATAGTAAATAATGTTGTAATTTTTCATTTTTTTTATTTTTTGGTTTTATTTTTTGCTTTCAATATTTCTGATTTCCATATTTTGTTGTGTATCAATAAAAAAACCTGCTGCTCATATTGTTCCCACGCGTTGTCTTATTGTCTTCAAGTTACCCGTATCGGAAATTTGCAATATTTGATCAACGTCAGTGAAAATATCATTTTATTTTGTTCTGCGTCAATATATTTAATATACCTACACATACCCATAGTAAATATCAATTTTTAAATATTTTTGTGATTCAAAACTTTATTACAACGTTATAATTAAAATCAAATCCACAGCAAAATAAAATGATTTTTTTACTCACTTGCTTCCTTTGTTTTCTTTTACTTCATATAAGTATTGAATTTTCAAGCCAAACCCAAACTCTACAACCAGAAATTGTCAGAATTTTTGTCAAGTGTACTCCCGGAGTACTTGTAAAATATGAAAACAAAACAAAAATGTAATATTGCTTGTGTGGTGATATATTGTTTGCTGACATTTCGCAACAAACGAAAACCCATTCATTTTAATGTTTATTGTTCTAGGCAATATCTGATCTTCTCCTTGGGGTGCTTTGCATGCCGTTCACTCTCATCGGTCAAGTGCTACGGAATTTCATCTTTGGCGCCATCATGTGCAAGCTGATTCCTTACGCTCAAGGTATTTTTATTATCATTTTTTTCTGCATTCTTTTTCTTGCCTCAAAATCACGCCTAGCTAACGCAAAGGAATTTTTTACTCTACATGTTTGTATTTATATTATAAAACTTAATATTGCTATTGGTATCTTTGAGTTACCTGAAAAAGTTGATCCAAGAAGCGTAAAATTATTGAATCAAAAACCACGCATGAATATTCCCTAATCGGTTTAAACGGAATACGCAGTAAGGTCTAAAACAACGTCATTCAGAGAGTATGCAGGACTTGAGGCGCTATTGAAGTTTTTTAGAGCATTAAATCGTACGGAAAATTCACGCCTGTCTCAAAAGTTTTCCACTTATAAACGCATTAATAAAACACCCGGCTGAACTTGAATATTGCTTTGAACTGCAGCATGTTTTTCGATATTAATACGTTAAATTTAACCAACGTAGGTATGATTAACAAGTTCTATAAATATAAAACATCTACCGTCTATCGTAGAGTAAACATAAAATAATTACGCGCGATGTTTATTAATAAACGATTTTAAGTGGTCAGACAACAATGTTGCTATAAATATATTTTAGAATATTGATCACTTTTAATTGAAAACAATATGGTTACGGAGTGTCGATGGAAGCAATTAAAAAACAATCTAAAGTGATCAACGAGATTTTAATTGAATTAAGTTTCCAGCGTGCGGAAACAACTTTTTGATAGAATTATTTTTAATATTTTTTGTACAAAAATTAAAATTAGGAGTGTATTTTGTTTATAATATTATATTAAACCTAAATATCTGTAAGAGGTCGTAGATTTAAGGATAATCTTAAAATCCAAGCGTATTCTGAGCGATTCTGAATGCGAAGCTTCAAGGATAAAATCAACAACAGAACAAACGTAATACTCGCAAGATTTAGTCATCAAAGACATCAAAATAATGTGGATTTACGTCGTAGTCGGATTGCTGCCACTGACCAAATAGTGCAAATCTGTGTTTTGTCCCAGTAATGTTCCAGGATCACGTTTCATTGGATTTTATTGCTTTTGAACTACTAGTGTATTGTTGACTCTCCAAGGACTTTATTACAATTGCAACAATTTAAACGCGTTATATGTTTAATTTTTGTATGTAAAATTATTTTGATTTAAGTAGAAATTCAATAACAAAACATCAAACGTGTTATGTTATTTACAAAAACTATAATTTGGTGTATGATTTCAGTGTGAAATTTGTTTGTATATCAAGCCGCTATAAAAATAACATGACAAGAAATTCGAGTCGTAAAATACTTCAACTGAAAATTGAAGCGTTTGCATTTTTAGGGCCTTTCAATTGGATTTAATTCCTGAATATACGCCACGCATAAAACGGGCCTAATTTGGTCATGTATTATGTGCTTCATATTTGCATTTACAATTCATTTCGCTTTGAAACGATACGTATGCATTCATACATCCACAAATTTTGGCTGTGCAAATTTGTCAGACGAGGCGATTTAATTGAATAAGCATAAAATGAGTAAACAACTCACACCGATCACAAAATTATCAAAGATTTTTCAAAAAGTGGTAAATTTCAACCATTTTACCATAAGAAGTATAAATAATTAATTATAAATCGCTGGAAAATTAATTTTGTAATTAATTAATTTAAAATTCATTGTCGTATTAATGCAACCCTGCCCCTTGCTAATTTTACAGCCTTCTCAATGTTCCCCTGTTTATTAACTTATGTTCTACGAGTACGTACGTCATGATACCGAGATTTGCTAAACATGCTAAAGCCTCAACTTTATTATTACGGTATACTCAATTTTCATATAAAACAAACGCTTCGAGTTTATGGCTGCATGAAATCATAACAATTGTATCCAAATTTTCAACTCTACTGGAATGCCAGATTAATTTTCCAAGCACAAAAACATAAAAACAACACACGTGTTATATTAAAGCCTGGAATTAGGCAATGCGCATAATTGTAATATTTACTTAGTTCAGTGACTTCTTCGCGTAACTAATAATTGAAGCTTGTTTTGTAACAATCGAATTACTTCGTGGAAAATTTTCACCGACAAGCGAATATTCTTCCCAAGTTACTGACTGACAACTCGATTTCTTTCACGCAAAACTACTTAACCGATCTCATGAAAATTTGTACACACATATTCTTTGGTGGTCCCCGAATGGTTATAGGCTACTTTTTATTTAATAAAAAAAATTATTTTTAAATAAAATAAAGAAATTGTTTGTAATAATTCCTCTGCATCTGGCTATTTGACTATTTTAACGCCATCTAGCATTCAGCAATGAAAGCTCAAACCTAAAGTGCCATTACCATCACACTGTATTATCACACTGTATTACCGACAGCTACATCAGCATAAATCAATTGACTTACACTATGGAACTGTACACTATACTTCCAAGACTATATTTTCAATACATTTAAACTTCCCGCCATTCTACTTCATTGTTACTTCTTCTGTGACTACAGACGCGTACGGAAGCAATTTCATTATTTTAGATATTCGCGAGCGAAGCCAAGAGTTAAAGCTAGTATAGAAATAAATCAAAACCAAAATCTAAAAAATATACTGGTATCTAACAAATTATAGCTTCATTTGTTTGCTGATGGCTTTAATAAACAATGAATGCACAGTTCATGTATAGATAAATATTTAATTGATTATATGTAAGCACTGCACACCATTGTTAAGCACAATTGTTCCATCGGATCAATAGAATACACAAAAACGTTTCATTTGTTTAATCCAAATCCGTACAGCATATTAAATTGGTTTTGTGCGATTCTACAATGCCGCAGGCATATCTCTTGACTATTAACCGCATTTTCTAAAATAAATTGTTTTTATAATTGGAACTAGCTGTTGCCCGCGACTTCGTTCCGGCAGTGTTTAATAAAAATGTAATTCGTTTTTACTCTCTTGTTCTAGACATACTCGTTTAATTTAAAGAAATTATGCATATAAAGTTTTGTCAATAATGCACTTCAGCGCGCCATCTCGAATTCAACTATTTAACTATAACTATGATTGAATCTCAATGTCAAATTTTATTCTATAGAAAAGTGCTGTTTTGAGGATTTTCCCGGCAATTATTCGAATTTTTCTCACCTTTTAAACCTTCCCTAGACCTCCACGAATAATTCAAGACCAAGATAAGATAAATCCGTTCAGCCGTTCTTGAGTTTTAGCGAGACTAACGAACAGCAATTCATTTATATATATATAGATTAGTAGTTCGGATTTCATCTGATTAGATTGTTGTCTTGTATAAAATAAATTTAATTTCTGGAAGATGAATAAACAGAGCTGAAACATAATTATAGCGGCACGCAGTTGTTTACAAACCGGAATATCGGAAATCTCGAAGAAGAAACGAGACCCAAACCGGAAATTTTCGGCAGGGCGCGGAACCAAAAGTATTAAATTCCATGTCAATATTGATTTTAAATGTGCTTACAAATCTATTAAAGTATTGCGCGCTTGATAATAGCTTAAATCCGTCAAACTTCATCAATATTAAATAGAATTACACAATTCCAATTGAATGTAAACTCAATTATCAGTTAATGCAATTATATTATAATCAAATGGTGACGAGTGCGAACAAAGATTGGGACGATGTTCAAAGTTGGCAAATCCAATTAATCAAATGAACATGCAATATGTAGTTATGTGACATGGTTTCCTCTTGTATCTCCAGCTGTATCCGTATCGGTGGCTGTATGGACTCTAGTGGCAATTTCCCTCGAGAGGTATTTTGCGATCTGCAGCCCGCTGAAATCACGACGATGGCAAACGCAGTTTCACGCATATAAAATGATCTGCTTTGTCTGGCTGGCCAGTCTGCTGTGGTCATCACCAGTGCTTCTTGTTTCAACACTCACGTCAATCAAATCAAAAGGTAAATAATTATATGCAACTGCTGTACAAAACTAATGATTTCTATTGTATAATATCTAGGTACACATAAATGTCGAGAAGTGTGGCCGAGCAAAGCGAGCGATCGTATCTACAGCCTGTTTCTGGAGGCTATATTGTTAATAATTCCGCTCGTTATCATGACGCTTGCTTATTCGCTAATCATTAGTAAGCTCTGGAAGGGACTGCAGAAGGAGATTGAGCATAACAACACTTTCCAACAATGTGAGCACTTACTTTGTCTTTAATAAACCCTAATGACGTTCATTAAAGAAAAAACCTTCCTAGTAATCTAGAAAATTGCAGATAACGCTCGGAACTTTGCTTTATTTTTATTTTTATTTTTAGAAAAAAGCACGCTTTGGTTTTAATAAGAATTTTTTTAATAAAACTTTTTATTTAATTAAACCAAACAAATGTTTTTGAAAATGTGTCGAAATTTTTTATTATTCTCAGTTATTGATTTTCTAAATTCTCCAGCGATGGTTTGCAATACGAGTATTGTGAATCTTGTCACAAACAATTTTCATTCAATTATAACTTGTTTTTGTTCGTTTTCAATCTGCATTTCGCCGGAAAAAGAAAAAAAAAACATCAAAGAAGCATGATACAAGATAAACATTTTGTGTTCCAGTCGCACAGCCACAAACACAGGTAGAAATGAAATGCGTGACAAGTTCAACGGCGTTGAAACAAAAGGAAGCGCTCACGAACGGGGTGGTGACCACCACAATAACGCCAACACTCTCGAATGGCACGGCGAATGCCTATGGTGGGCGCAATCGACTGCTACAGACGAATGTTAAGCTAATTGCTAGCAACAACAACAAAAAGTATACAAAGTCGTGCGTGCCGACGGGAAATGTACAAACGGACGTGAGCTTTGGATCGTGGTTCCGGCGAGGCTTCAAAAAGGTAGCTAATTCAATGAAACAAATTCGATTTTCTGCTTCAATTACAAACGTAATTACCTACTGAAAGCAATAAACATTTATTAGAAAATTAATTTAAATTTTGATATAAATTAATTATAGTTTTAATAACTATCAAATATTAATTATTATTTATTTAATTTTTTTATATAAAAATTAATTTTGTTTTGTTTTCAATTAAAACAGGTTGCTTTCGGCAAGCACCGTACTTGCATCCCGACATACAACAAAACAAAGACAACAGTTGCACGTCAAAGTGAATCATTATTATACCCACCGCTGCCAACCACCCCTGGCAGTGCCCATAGCGAGGCATCCCCCATGATGCAACTGATTGTCACTGATAGCAACAGCAACGAGCATAATGACCATGTCGACTCAAACACAACTTTGAGTCGTATACCAATACGTTCTAATTATATGGACAAGAGTATTGAAGCTAAGAAGAAGGTATAGTGCTTAATATTAAGTTTCCAGCCATGAATCTCGGAATAATACAATGTAGAAATCCATAAGTTGGAGTGTTGGAAACGTATTTTATTACCCAACTTTTCTTATTTTCCCTTTTCGCACCAGTGCGTTTCCTTTTTTGTGTTTTATGGCTTCATTCATTTCCAGTGGGGGTTGTACGGATGCGGGATTGGTACTTTTAGCAGCATTTGCACTTTTTGTTTTCTTCTCTTTTATCCGCACCGAAAGCTAATTCTGGATGATGCTTTCAAGTTTTACAACTTGTAGCGTTCGTTTCTTATTACCTGTTTGTCTTTTACAGTTTAATGTGATTATATTTGTACGAGTGCACTTTTCGGATGACTTACAGTGACAATAATAACAAATTTAATTAAAACTTTTGGTTTTGTTGTGTTTCAATTGCTTTGGCTCTAGTATAATAGACGAGAAAGTTTTATTTATTTAATGGGACATCGGATATCGCGGTTTGAGGATGCGGAAATTTGTATTATGTTCATTTCCAGGTCATCCGTATGCTGTTCGTGATCGTGCTGGAGTTTTTCATCTGCTGGGCGCCGCTGCACATCCTCAACACGTGGTATTTGTACAATCCAGCAGCCGTCTATGATCTGGTTGGGGCGACCGGCGTTTCGCTGGTGCAGCTTCTCGCATTTGTCAGCAGCTGCTGCAACCCGATCACGTACTGCTTCATGAACAGGAAGTTTCGACAGAGTTTCCTCGCAATGGTTTGCTCGCCCAGGTCAGTTAACTTTAATAAAACAATGTCAATACTTTTATCAAAACAAAATATTTTTCTTGCTTTAAACCGGAAGATGTTGCCGTTATTGTTGTAAGCCGAATGATTTGGGTCTCACACCGTCGAAAAGTGTACAGATCAATAAAGGCAAGTTAAAGATTGTCCACAATTCGGATGGGTCTGTTAATGAATCAACCATTTATGCGGGACGAGCCAGCACCCTTGGACGTTCTGGTAAGTAAATAATCTTTTGATTTTTCTATGTTTTTTTTCATATTTTAATTCAATTTTTAGCAGTTTTTGTGTGTTTTTTGAGAATATTTTCTACTAGCTTTAACCCGCGGCTTCGCTTGCGAACATCTAATATAATGAAGTTGCTTCCGTACGCGTCTGTAGTCACAGAAGAAGTAACAATGAAGTAGAATGGCGGGAAGTTTAAAATGGCTGTATACAGCCCAGTGAAGTATAGTGTACAGTCTCCAGGTAGTCAATTGATTTGATGTTAATGCTGTCGGTAATACAGTGATAATACAGTGTGATGGTACTATAGTACTTTAGGTTTGAGCCATTGCTGGAATAGCATGCAGTTAAAGTTGTCAAATAGCCAGATGCAGGCATGCATATTAAAACAATTTTTTTATTTTATTTAAAAATACCTTTTGCCAAAATGCAGCCTCTAACCATTCGGGGACCACTGAGAATATAAAAATAAATTTTCACATGATGACTGGTTGCTAGTTTGCGTGAAAGTAACAAAACATCAGGCCTTACGCGCTTATAATATTAGTAGGATTGAAATGAAGAGGAACGAAATCATAATGAATGGAGGAAAGAAATTATATAAATGTGCGTAGCCAAACTCATAGAGGGTGAGGAAAAAGTCAATTTTCTTTTGAGTGCCAGACAATAGTAGAGCGTCATATTAAGGACGTGTTTCTATAGGCGACACGGATGACTAAAGAGTATACAATTTCTTTACAAAGACCTAACGGACCTATTTGAAGTGTTATCGCAACAGAACGAAAGACATTAATTTCGCTTTTTCTCTGCAATAAAAACTCTATAAATAGCACGGAGTGTGAAAGAAAAAATTAACCTCTTACATTTGGATTTTAATCATTGCGCATACTGAATCAGAATGGATTCAAACATTTTTTCGTTTTATTCACGCAAATAAAAGTCAATTAATTAAAGCATAATATTTGATTTCTAAACAAAAAATATTATTGGAAAAATTCCGAACTTATCTGCAGTAATTAATCAAGGATTAATGATTTTATCAATTTGATGAAAGTTCCTTTTAAAAAATAAGTAAAAGTGAAAAGAGATGAAACCTAAAATATAATAAAAAAAATTGCCGTTGAAAAGGATTTCCAATAAGCTACAATTTTTAAAGATCACAGCTCTTTAACGCCATCTAGCATTCCAGCAATGAAGCTAAAACCTAAGTACTATAGTATCATCACACTGTATTATCACACTGTATTACCGACAGCTGCGTCAACATCAAATCCAATTGACTACACTATGGAGACTGTACACTATACTTCCATAGACTATACTTTCAGCCATTTTAAACTTCCCGCCATTCTACTTCATTATTACTTCTTCTGTGACTACAGACGCGTACGGAAGCTACTTCATTATTTTAGATATTCGCGAGCGAAGCCGCTAGTCACTTATAAATTGAAATTGAACTAAAATTTATTTTTTAATTTTAAATTTTAAAAAGTGATTCAATTGGATATACGAATATTAAATTCAATTTTAACAATGTTTTTATTTTGTTAAATTAATATGAAATTTGTCTTTGCAGAAGTGATGGTCCTAGAAGGCGAAGAACGTGTTTAGCAGCGGCTCGGAGTGCGGAGCCGTTGGTGGTTCCTCCTCGACGGCGAGCACGTCGCGCACAATACAGGTGATCTCCGTGGATCCTGACGACGATTCGTTTCGCTACCGGATCTCGTGGATTCGCGCAGTGACTGCTAACGGCGCCGGCTCTCCGGTGGGCACCACTGACGATAGTCTCTACTCTTGAAACGCATCCGCACTCGAAAATATCATGCAGAAGAATGAAGATTAAACAATTTCAACTACAAAAACGTTTAATTTTGGGGACGTAGGGTACAAACTTTAATAAATGCAATGCGCGTAACCCTGGGTTGAACTACAGCGATAAAACTTTATAATTGTGCGTAGGGGGGTTGTGATGATTACATTTGGAATTCCAAAGGTAAGCGGACGGTTAATGCGTGAGGTAAATGTGTAATATCGTTGTATTATTTCTATCGCTGAAATATTTTAATTTCAAGAATATTTAACATTGGATGCTGCCAAAAATGTATCATATTTTAAATATCAGTGTGCATTTTCATTGCAAATAATTAATTATTACATAATTTACAAAATAATTGTTTCGTTCATTTATAATAAACCAAAATGATTGATCAGTTCAATAGATAATTGGATTATATATAATCTCAAGCATAACGCTTCTAATAAATCAATAAATAACTTGGACTGACTGGATTTAATTAATCAAACAATTATTTTGCTCATTTTAATTCACATTCAAATAACTGTATAGAAATCACAATAATATTAATAAATGTTTGTTCTTACAGTTTAATAAACGTCCAAATCTGTAAAATATAAATCTATGATTGAATGTTATCAATAATTAACTGATTTAAAAATGATAAAAAATTGTTGTATATATATATAAATATTGTTAAAATTAAAATTAAAATTAAACAAGACTGAGACACGCAGAAATTAACTAAATGTTGAATTATTGTATAAAATAGATAAGAAAAATTGCAAAAATGCATTAATAACAATAAAACAAGTTTTAAATTGTTTAAAGGGCATATCAATATACAAAATTAATTTAAATTTGATACCTGTTTAATTAGTCATTAACGTTTATTGACTATAATATACTTTTTACATTTTACAAGTTTACAATCTATTGATATTGAGAATAATACTTTTAATATTACATTAGTTTTGTACATGTAAAATACAACCGCTTATTGTCGACTTTCGAACGAAACAAAACAAAATACATGTATGTTATTAGTTTCATATCCAATTTGTGGACTCACATTTTATGCTATGATTTATTAACGTTGCTTAATTAATATTTTATATCGATATTCGAATACATCTATCAAATACTGTAATATCACACACAAACAACTATTTATTACAATTATCCAACAAACAAGTATTGTATGCGATGCGAATTGTTATTTATGAGTGAATGCATTAATTAAGAATTAATCAGATTATTATTTTGTTATTAATATCAAATATGCAACATATGTGTATATGCATGTTCAAAATATTTGAAAATAAATCGAACTGAATGTGATTTTTTAAATTTTGTTTTAATTTTGAATTTTTTGGGTATTTTGGATGAAAATATTGTTTTTAAACATTTTAATAATATTTATTTAATATAATAAACTAAAAAGAAAGGTATGACAAGTATTAATAATTATTTTAATGGTTTAAATTTTAATTATTAAAAAAATAATTTTTCTTGTTTTTTTTTTTTTAAATTTTAATAAATAAATGATATTTTTTCAGTTTATATATTTTGGTATTGTAATAATATATACATCCACTATAATATTTAAAATTTTGAATACCCTGTATATGGTTTAAATGCAAAAATCAAATTTTATTTCCCAGAATTGTTCATTTCGATTTTGTGTAAATTTATGATGATATTTACAGTTTCATCACGCGTCGTTACGTGTTCAATCTCGTCAATCATAACTGCTCGTTGCACTTGTTTGGTTTGGCTCCCGAATCCATCATATTAAATTCGCTGCCGTTAAGCAGATTCAGATTACGATTGGTGCGCCCGGCGCCTCCACGATGCCGCCAGCATCGAAACGAGTTGACAAATGATTTACGGAACGCATAGTTCATGAAACAGTACGTGATCGGGTTGCAGCAACTTGAAGTATACGCCAATAACTGCAGAAAACTGATGGCCGTGTAGCCAAGTTTCGTGTAGATGATGGACGCGTCAAAAAGTACGATTGTATTGATGACGTACAGGGGTGTCCAACAGATGAAGAATTCCAGGACAACGGCGAAGAGCATTTTTATAACACGTTTTTTATTTTGTAGACTACGTTCGGCGTTTGATCGTCGTAAGCCTGTCATGGTGCGTTGGGAACCGATGGGTGATGCGGATTCTTGTGACCAGGTGGTTTGACGTAGCTGGCGGAGGCTGGTTGTGTTGCGGGTGGATGATCGTGTCCAACGTTTGCTGTTCGTGTCGATATTTACATATACTTCAATTAATTTTGTCCCAGATTCTGAAATTAAAACAATAAATGTTTGTTTTTTATGTATTTTTTTTTGTTAAAAAACACTTACGATTGTCTTTAGCAAGTTTTTCACTCTTCATTCCTCTGCATAAAGTGTATGTAATCATAGAATACGTAGCAGCCAGCACAACCAATGGAATAACCAGCAAGATTATATCCAAAAACAAATTGTACGCTTTTTCATAGTCCAGTGATGGCCAATCTTCTCGACATTTGTGATTTCCTAAAAATAAAAACAATAAACACTATAAATCCCTACTAATATTATAAATACGAAAGGCCTGATGTTTGTTACACTTTCACGCAAAAACTACTTAACCGATCATCATGAAAATTTGTACACATATTCTTAGTGGTTCCCGAATGGTTATAGGCTACTTTTTATTTAATAAAAAAAATTATTTTTTAAATAAAATAAAGAAATAGTTTAGCCAATAATACCTCTGCATCTGGCTATTGGACTACTTTAACGCCATCTAGCATTCCAGCAATGAAGCTCAAATCTAAGTACTATAGTACCATCACACTGTATTATCACACTGTATTACCGACAGCTACGTCAACATCAAATCCAATGGACTACACTATGGAGACTGTACACTATACTTCCATAGACTATACTTTCAGCCATTTTAAACTTCCCGCCATTCTACTTCATTGTTACTTCTTCTGTGACTACAGACGCGTACAGAAGCAACTTCATTATTTTAGATATTCGCAAGCGAAGCTAGTATTAAATATTATTTTAAATGTTATTTTGCAGAGTTTGTTTTAGTTTGTAATTTTCCGAGTAGAAATCATAATACGAGTAGCATTTGGATAAGCTTTAAAGCATTCTAGAAAGAAGAGCATCACAATGCCTACGAGTACCATTTCGCCAGCTTTAAGCTCAAAAACCAACAGTATAATCTAAACTTGTTTGCATTCAGCAAAAATCACAGAAATTGTATAAATAGAATGAAAAATACATACAATTTTTCGGGTTGGGTTTAAAAATACACACAAAAAATAAATTATCTGTACAAAAACGTAATTATCAAATAAATGTTCAGAAAAAGAGTTGAATGAAAACGGTGAAAAGTAAAATCCTGGTTTTAGTGTTATCTGTGATGTTTTTTGCTTTCATCTCAACATGTGAGATTAACAAATCTAATTTTAGATAATATACATTTTGTCTTGCTGCAAAAAACTGATAAATGGATAAAAACAAAGAATTTATTTTTAGTATCAAATAATTATCTACAGCGATACCTGCAGGCTATAATTAGCAAGTAAAGATAAGCTAATCAAAGCTAAACCAAATAAAAATTCTCTGAAAGCAAAGCAAGCAAACTGAAACGAAAAATAAGAAAGTCAAGTAGCAAACCAAGCAAGGTATGTAAACAAAACACAAAACACTACTAAAGAACCAAGGTAAATTAACTGAATCTACTCCTCAGAAAATAACTTTCTATCAGGTTTTTACAATTTTTATTAAGTTGTTGCATATTAAGAAGAATAAATCCAAAAAAACTTAAAGGAAAATAAATTAAATGAAATTTTGATGTTTCAGAAATGAGATTACACTATTATTGAGTTAAGGTAGTTTCGGTAACTTTGGCAATTAATGATTATTAGATCATTAGCATGCATTTACGATGGGTTGGGCATGAAGGGATGATTTACGCCCCGGTTTTGTTCGCGAACATGCAAATATGCGTGAGAATCTTCGTCTGTTAAGTTTACTGTGGCCGGATAAGTTGGCCCATAATATCGACTTGTTTGTAGTGCTCGGTTTACCTTGATTGGTCGGCTGGAGTTGGCTGAGAACGGCGATGGGGCCCATGCAGACTACACTGCCCAGCCAGATTGCGATGATGAGCTTGTAAGCGTGGCTTATCGTCTGCCAACGCAGCGAACGCAGCGGATGGCAGATTGCATAATAGCGCTCCACTGAGATTGCCACTAATGTCCATACTCCGACGGAAACTGAGCAAGCTGAAACATTATAAGCAATTAAACAATTACGTTAATCATATACAGGGTATAATAAAATATTTTTACAAGTTTTATTTTAAACTAGCTTTAACCCGCGAATATCTAAAATAAGGAAATTGCTTCCGTACGCGTCTGTAGTCACAGAAGAAGTAACAATGAAGTAGAATGGCGGGAAGTTTAAAATGGCTGAAAGTATAGTCTATGGAAGTATAGTGTACAGTCTCCATAGTGTAATATATAAACATAGAAACTGTGTTTTCAAAAACTTCAATTTTACAATATTCCCAAAAAATATCCAACTACTTTGTTTAATAATTCGCATTATTATCTATGTTTAACAAAACATACTACACCACAAGCAAATAATATATCTGAGTACCCGAAACACAATTTGATATCACATAGTATGTTTTGACTACTAGCAGCAATATTATCATCAATATTTGATTAAATTAACGTAGGTACAAACCGAATAATTTCAACTTCCCCTGCTATATTGATCCTGAATGATTTTGACTTAAAATATTATAATTTTACACCGATAAGTTTTAGCACTTGAATTACCATTGCTTAGCATACGATTTGCCCAATTTACCTCCGAACGCAAATTTTGGCAAGACACATTCCAAAACAAATTATTGGAATTAGTTTTTCTCGTTGCATAAATTACCTGTCCGCGACTGATAACGCGATAACGCCATCGCCGTTCAAATTTAAATTTATTTAAATATCCAATTCGCAACCACTATATATACTCTTGTCAAATATTCGTGTGGTATCATTGGGTTGAAATCAAGAAACCAGTAAAAATGGTAAGTAAACTTAAAAAATCATTCTGTTTTTGTGGTAAACTTAAATTGTGTTTTTCTTGTGTGTTTAGAAATCCTTCGCAGTTATCCTGTTGTGCGTGGCTCTGGCCCATGTGGCATTTGCCAAGGTGACCCCTGCCAAAGAGGAAGTCAAATACCCAGTAGCTGCACCTGTTGTTGCATCCGAAGCGATCGCCGCAGCTAACGGTCTTTACAGTCTCGTCAGTTTGTTGTTGACTCCCTTCTCTTGGGTGTACAATGCATTGGCCGCTGTCCGCGCTACTATGGTAACCCCACCAAAAATGGGTAACCTGGGCTTGACACTTCGTGGTACCTTGACTGGTTACAACTTGGTCGGCTACCTCCTCAGTTTCCTTGTTTTGGACATTCCTCTTGTTTCTCTCATCGATCTCCTCTACACTGTGACTTGCTCCGGACCTAGCGCTAGCTACGGTATCCTCGGAAACGTGGTTTACACTCTAACCATAAGGATAAACCCAATCAGTGTTTTGCTCGGGGGTCTTGGAGTCGGCAACATCATCCAAGTTGTTTTAGACTACCTCTTCTATGCTGACTGCTAATAAATTTCATGTTTATGTCATGTTGTTACGGATGACTTAAGTGTTCAATAAATTACAACCGAATATTATTTGAAATTCTCTTCTATCAACTAAAATATTGTTTTACAGCTGTTAAAAACATTGACGCAATGTTGGCATGAATATAATGCTGAGTATATTTAACTTGCGTGACTTAACAAAATTTCGAACACAACATTAAAACGAATGATTCTTATGTAATTTGCCCAATTGCAAAGCGAGGTCAAGTTTATCGCGAATGAAACAGCGGTTTTGAATTCCAGCATCAACATACCAAATTGCATACCAAGTTCAATTGAATACAAACATATCTCAAGGCCAGTTGAATTCCGTGTGGGAGATATAAACAATTTGATTAAAACAACTCGCACGCACACGAATCGACTCAGTACCATTGCTCAGTGCGAAGCTGACACTACTTGTGTATTACTTTTTGTTGGTTGTTTGATTTTTGATTGATTTAACAATGGCGGTTGGTAAATTATACATGACTGATCTCAGCCCACCCTGTAGGGCGGTAATCCTCACTGCTAAGTCGTTGGGCATCGAATTGGAATTGATTGAGACCAATATCATGGCTGGTGAAACTGCAACACCTGAATTTTTGAAGGTATTACTTCTTTTTATAATAATATTAGAATTTCTTGAGTGTTTAGTAATGTTTGTTGTATTTAGATGAACCCGGCTCATGCTCTACCGACCTACAAAGACAATGATGGTACTGCAATGGGTGACAGTCATGCTATCATGGCATTCCTTGTTGGTAAATATGGAAAGAATGATTCATTGTATCCGAAAGACCTAGCCAAACGTGCGGCGGTTGATCAACGATTACATTATGATAGTGGGAATGTTTACAGTTTACATGTCTCTATTGTGGTATGTTTATTAATAACGGTGTAATAAGTTCCAGTTGATTCTTTATTATACTGTCTTTAGTTTCCAATGTGGATGCGTCAAAGTGAAGGCATCTCCCAAAGACAACTGGATTCAGCTAAAAGCATGTACAATGTTTTAAACACTTTCCTTGAAGGTAATACCTGGATCGCCAAAACCGCTTCTCCAACGATCGCAGACTTTTCTCTGGCTACTTCTGTTAATGCCATTAATGTTGTGGCTCCAATGGATAAAGCTACGTGTGGTAATGTGGTTGCATGGTTGAAGCGATGTGATGGTATACCACACTACCAGGAAGTTAATAAGAAGGGGCAGGATCTCTACACAAGTATTCTCAAATGCATGATGAATAATGATTATTCTTTCATGGATAAGTTTGCTTAAATAATATTTAGATTGTGGACAAACTGATATGATGGTTGTTATAACTAGGCAAATTTGTAAATATAAGTCAGTTATATTGAACTAAACGAATTACATAAAGCACAAAAATTACTTCATCATGTATTTGCTCATTGAATATGATAAGATACATTTATTTGCTGAATTCTAGATAAAAATCGTGTTTGTTATTCAACATGTCATTCAACATGGACGCATATACATCTTGTCCTTTTTTGTTCACACTGAAGTACGGTAATGCTTCACATCTCTTAATCCAGTTGACAATGTTTGGAAACTTCTGTTTATCGAACGGTGCGACAATCGAAATACATAGAATCGATGTAATCAGTGAGAAATCAGCAATTGTTGGTGTTTCACCTTCTACAACCCATTTATTTCCTTCAAGATACCTATTCAACGATGAATACATTCTTTCAGCAGCCATTTTGTGATAGTCAGAAGGTCCTGTTGCTGTTTTGCCATACATAGGGCCCTATATTATAATATATAATATTAGTTAGTTATTTATTTCCAAGAAATGAATTAATATCTTACCACTATAAACAGATGCAAAGCATACACAGTCCCACAATCAAAATGTAATCTTTGATCTACTGCTGACCGTTTTTTAAGGTCTTTCGGGTATAACGAATCGTTTTTACCGAATTTAGAAACAAGATACGCCATGATTGCGTGACTGTCACCGACTGATGTACCATCATTGTCCAAGAATGTGGGTACGGTATGATTTGGATTCAACTATAACATAAAACTAAGTTGAAATTATCTTCTTTAGATCACGGTTAGGTAATTACCTTCAAAAATTCCGGTTGCATCTGAGCAGCTTTGAATAAATTAGTCTCCACTAACTCTATTTCAATCCCAAGAGCCTTTGCCGTTAACATTGCCGCACGACAAGGAGGACTCAACTCCATTACAAAGAGTTTACCAACAGTTGATGCCATTTTTTGTTAAATGTCTCGTTACACTGTCATGTATCAACTGAGCTATATCTAAACAACTCCGGTTATTTAGCTAGCACTTCATATAGGAACCATGCCATTAAATTATGACTAAACCATTCCACAATCGACCTTGGTGTTTATTATGTAAGGAGGGGACCAAAATTAGCGATATAATTATAATTATCTATATTTTTAAACATGCCTAGTTTTTTCTGCCGTTTAAATATTTTACAAATTCGGTGTTCATTCGAGGTTGATTTTTTTAAACATATAAACAACCATTTGTGTCTGAAATTATATAATGTTGCTGTTGAGTTTCTGCAATTGTTCTCATTTTCGAAAATCGGTATCATTACCTGTATTATTCAGAGATGGCACTAGCATAAACTAAAAATCATAAAATAGAATTGTTGTTTATTGCTATATTTATCGGCAAACGTGGGCATTCGGCACGAGAATTGTGTTTGTTTTGAACACAATCAACTTTCTTGTCGCTTCCGCCGCGTGCAGCATGCCGCATGCAGCACGGTCTAGTTCAGCTTAGATTGCAGGTAACGTGCCTATTGCAATTCGTGCACAATGTCGCGTGCCTTCGACGCACCGGCCTTGCGCATCTCTTGCTTTGTTATCGTAAACTGTCGCGTCGTTGATTGCTCGACTACGGCATGCGCTATCGATGCTTTGCAGCCAGTTTCGTGCGGGTCGATGGCTAATTCAGTCGTGATTCGATCGACTCGTATAGTTTGTTCGGACTTCTGTTTTCTAAATTTGCATTATATTCGGTCAGCAGTCTACTATTTACTTGTAACTTGCGACTAACTTGTTTCTTTTATTATTTGTGCGTTTAATGTACATTACTCGTATTGTACAAGAGTGGTAGATATTTGATTGTGTTTCGTGTGCATACTTATGCAAGTTACAAGGTTCGATTTCGGTTGTTTGATGAATTGGATATAGGTTCGCCCTCATGTAAATTTATTCATCATTATCCTTGCGTAAGTAACTTTTAATTCAACAACATATTCTCGCAACTGTTATCGTTTTATTGTAATTGTATTGTAATTATTGTAATTTGGTAAATTACGTCCATTGTCCATTTAGTTTTCATCGCAGGTAACGTGCTAAATTCGTGCACAAGGTCGCGTGCCATCGACGCACTGGCTTTGCGCATCTATTACTTTCTTATCATTAACCGTCGTGTCGTTGCATGCACAATTTGCAGCCAGTTTCGTGCCGGTCTCTGGTTTTTCTAGATGTGTTTTACGCGACTCGTGTTGTTTGATCTGACTTCTACTTTCCAAATTTTCATTATACTCGTATTCGATCATTAATCGACTATTTAATTTTAACTTGTGACTATTGTAATGTTATCTACTTGCGCATTGTCCGGGTAGTTTTTGATCGCGCTGAAAGTGTATATTGCCACACACAAGGTTTCCAACTTTAACTAAACAGCACAGATTGTTTGATTGTTTCTCCGCTGTGTGAATGTAATATTACTTAATAATATGAAAGATTTTGGTTTTAACTTATGTTTTCTTATATTTTTTACAGTATTTGCCGTGTCTTGGAGTCCGATGAGTTCAGCATAGGTAAGTCTATAATTCAATCATATTTTTAATACTTTTAACCACGTTTTTAGACCTTTTACCCCAAAATATTTTAATCTGATAGAGAATTTTCCAACCTTTTATAATCTCGCACTCGCTGATTTCCATCTCGGTAGTTTGGATGATATCTACTAATAAAAATCGTTGAAAAAATTACATCAAGCACTTCCTCAGATTTCCCTTTTTAACTATCCCATCTGATAGAGTAATAGTCCGTAGACTAAGACGCTGCGATCAGATCCCTATTTATCTCTTTTAGTTTACGAGATATTCGCGTTTGAATAAATGGGCAAAAATCTCAAAATCTGTCAATTTCTTAGCACTTTTAGTTGCGTTTTTCGACCTGTTACTGCAGGAAATATAATACAGTAGAATCTTGGATAACTCGAACCTTGTTAAGCCGTAACTCTCTAAAGTAACTCCGGAAAAGATATGGCTATCTCGCTGAACCCCCTGAAACGACGCTCTAACTCGAATTTTTAGACTCCAGTGTAACTCGAACAATAAGTTATTTCCCCTGTGAGGCATTACTCGTACATTTTGGTTACCAAAATCCCCGGAACTGCAAATACTACCTCAGTGTGAAGTTCATAAAATTTATGATTTCTTACTCGAGACTCCCGGAGCTCAAAACTCGAGATTCCCGGAGCTTAAAACTCGTGGCAATAAAATCAAAAAGGAATGTTCGGGGCTCGGGCCCTCTTTATCTATTGTTTTTGTTTTGCACACGTGCAAGGAATGAATTCATTCAATAAACTTCTAAATTTCTAAGAAACACAGGATGTTATGTTTCTTTCATTTTGGTCACTTTTATTACTTGGCTCAGTCAGTACATATTTGTTTGGCTGTTAACAAGCAACAAAAATGGTATAATACAGCAATTGATACACTACGAACTTACATTGAAAGATGTAATGATATCGAGTATCATATATTCCGGTTCACTATATGAACTAGGAAATAATCGGATAAAAATCTGTAAATGGCTTTGAATCAAAACGAAGATAACAGATTTTTTATCACTATTTAAAACATACAGTGTAAAGTTCATTCATTATAATTATGTACTTGACTCTCATTTTATGTTACCTAATATAATTTTGTCGTAATAAAATACCTATGAAATTGTGCCTTTTATGTCGAAATTCTGATGGAGTTAACTCTCTTTCTGCTATCTCGAAATTCCCCTTGTTAAGCCGAAACTTCTGCTATCTCGAATTTTTTGGTTTCTTTGACAATCGAGTTATCAAGATTCTACTGTAGTTTTATATTTTTATCTGATACAGAATTTTCCAATCTATCATAATCAGCAATTTGTTGATTGTTGTGGCTTTTAGTTAAAGAGATGAATTTCAAAATTGTCAAAAAAAAAGTATCAAGCACCCCTGGTAATTTTTTTTAAGAATGAAAATTTCATCTCTAATTTCCGTTTTAACTATCCTATCTGATTGAGAATGTATCCATAGGATTAAGACGCTGCGATTGTAGATCCTATTTATTCCTTTTACTTTACGAGAGATATCTGTGTTTGAATAAAATGGGCAAAAATTGAAAAATGTCACTTTTAGCACTTTTTAGTCGCTTTTCGACCTTTTAGTGCAGTGTATTGGCTATTGTTTTATATGTTTTCTGATACAGAATTTTCCAATCTATCATAATCAGCAATTTGTTGGTTGCTGTGGCTTTTAGTTAAAAAAGATATGAATTTTCAAAAATTATCAAAAAGAGTATCAAGCTAGAAATATAATTATTTTATATTTATCTGGGATAGATTATCAAGCCTATTTTTTTCTCTTTCTAACTCTAAAATTTTGCCTTTCGGATTTTATTTTAAGTAGGTAGTTAATTTTTTTTACCCTTCCGTAGTTTTAAAATTTTATATCAATTCTCTCTGTATTACGTTTAGTTTTTGAGAAATGTCGAGAAAATTAGAAGATTTACCTTGGTTGTCATCCTCTCAAGCTGATGCCTTTGCCGCATGCACTACATTCTAGTATCTAAACTATACCAAAACTATACTAAACTATACTAAATAAACTATAATAATGTACATTATTAAACAAAAATGGTAATTTTGTGATCGTATTTCCCTGTACTTTTAGCGTTTTATGCAAGTTGTTTTAACCTATGTTTCTTTTTTTCAGTATTTTCCTCCGCCGTACCCTTCTACCGCTACCCTTGTACGGTGCCTTGAATGGGAGTCACTTCTACTGCTACCTGCGCTCGGTGCCCCAAATGGGAGTCTTTATGGATCCTGTAAGAAAAAATTCAATTTAATTTATGTATAAGTATATTTCATTTACATAAATATTTTCTAGTTGTTGGATGAAGCATTGGCTTCTGTCCTGAGATGACCAAGTTTATGAGTAAGGACCAACTGAGAAGTTAGGTACTGCGGAGTGCGTATTGATTTTTGATTACTGAAGACGGATGTGTCAATTGACTAAAGTTCCAAGAACGTATGTTATATATTAGTCCAGTCATTTGCAGTTTCGTTTCAGAAAATAGTATTGGATTGTTGAAAATTGGTATTCATATAGATTTCGAGGTGCTTCATGAATTTAAACTTTGCCACCTCGTATCTTGTGCGCTCGCGCCACCATCTTGGAAAAATGGTGCCTAAGAACAGCTTCTTTTTGACCATATCTCCTTTCCGACTCATTTTTGCAATAAAATACATCTATATAATAAATTAAACTAGAGAAAATTTCCTATAATTCTATGTAAGTACCTTCTTGTAAATTACTAGTTTTAGCGTACGGGCGCCGCAAAAGTCTACTTCAACATTCGTATTTTGCCAAAACTCCATTTCCCCACACCACCATGAGGTAGAGTACGTATATGCTACTTTTTTTATCGTGTATCCCCAGTAGGCCTAACTTACACCCACTATTCCAAAAATTTAATAGGATTATCTCCGATTCCGCTCTTCAAGTGATGGGCCAGGTAAGGTGTTAATTGTTTTGTGACCGATCGAAATATCACAGGTAAAATTTGCTGCCATACTATCCGCGATGGGATTATAGTTTTCAATGCTATCTTGGCTCTCGGAGTTCATCACCGTACGTGCTCAAAAAACAGTAATCGATTCTTCCTCTTCATCGCTATCTTGTGATGGAATCGCGAATTATCACAGGCACCACTGCAATTTGTAAAGGTGATAATTCTGAGCACTTGCTAATCCAGCTTCTGCAGCCGCAGGCTTTCTGACATCCCTTTACATTTGTAAAGATATTAGTTTTAAATAATGCTCGGGAGCTGGGGCTCGAGGTAGTGGACAGGAATTAGCCCATTCTTGCTTTTTTTCCATCCCCATTGTCTCTGTGCATTTTAGTTCATTCCCTATACCACTGCTGAACTTGGTGATAAGTTCTGAATGAATGTTGTCGGGTTGCGGCTTCTGTTGGTGGTAGCGATGCAATATTAAATTTACTTTTGTATTTTGTATGATTTTGTGAAGCTGGCATATCTATATTTAAAGACATATTTTGCATAAGCTACATCACTGTAACTATATAATTTAAGAAGAAAGCGTCTGCCAGCTGTAGCAAATGATCTTGGACAAGCTTTGTTTTTGAATACCTGGACAACTTCGTTTAAATCTGGATTTTTTCTTGGTGTACATTGATAAATTTTAATTTTCCTTGATGAAAAAGTGGTGATGTTGTATCACAGCTACTAAAAAGGTGTAAAAATAATATGTGATCTGCCGCCGTTTGATCGATGATGCTTTTAAGTTGAATAGGATTTGTTGCAAAATTTTTCTCTTCCCCTGGTTTTTAGTAAATATATGTTTGAATGCACGGATAGCGCCGTTAAAAGAATAAGAAGATCTACATCTTCGCCTTATAACAATTAACGCCTTACCTACGAAAAAGCCTTCAACTCTCTTTCTTCACTTCAACTACTACTATCTTGCAGTGGAGTTTCACAAAATAAAAACAATTTACGTTATTCGCCATGGCGTCAAAATGCAAACGACAATGACTATTCAGAACGACAAATATGTACAATGACTCAAAGAAGAAGAAATACTAAAACAAAAAGTATACTCTCGGCCGGCGAAACTTAACAAGCGAGTGGGAGCCGGAGCACCCTCAACCAGCAAGCAAAAATTGCAAAGTCATGCATGATTTGAAATGAGTTTGACAAAAAAACGAATGTTGAAGTAGACTTCAGCGCCCGTACGCCAAAACTACTAATTTTACAAGAAAAAGGTACTTTACATAAATTATAGGAATTTTCTAGTCTAATTTATTATATAGATATGTTTATTGTAAAATGAGTCGGAAAAGAGATATGGTCAAAAACTGTTCTTAGGCACCATTTTTCAAGATGGTGGCGCGAGCGCACAAAGATACGAGGTGGTGCAAGTTTAAATTCGTAAGAGCACATCGAAATCTATATGAATACCCAATTTTCAAATAATCCAACACTATTTCCAAGCAACTACGTTTTTAGCACCAAATGACTGTACCTATATTGGCAATTTATAATATTTTATATTTTACTATTCTGTTATTTATTCTCGTTTATAGTGTCCAAAGAAATTGAAGATTGGATTGCTGAAGCTGATGATATATTTCAAATACGATTGAAAGAAATGTGGGCCATTTGAAAGCTGTTATTGATATCATTTTTGTTTATTTTGTTAAAAATTTCAAAGAAAGCATTACATAATTCGTATATTATTACCTTGTTTTCATGATTGTACTGTTAAACATGCTGTATATATTGAGAAATTGAGTTATTGTATATTCTACATTTTTAATAAAATTGTAGTTTTATATTTTATAAATTTTAGTCTTTTATTTGTCCCAAATTCTCCGTTTGAGAATAGCTCGCAAATATTTCCTTTAATTGCTCCATAAATCTCTCTCTTTTAAACTATGATGGCAATATAATTGCTAGATATGGGAGAGAGTTCAAAAATCAATTTTATATTGTATCAATATTAATTTAAAAAGGTATCACTAGTGCCATCTGTCTATGAGTAACTAAACTACGTCGCAATTGAGATTACTGAAATTCAGCCTACTGCACTTCTTGCGATCCTAATATTCAAAAAGAATTTCAGTGTATAATTTCACCGGATTTCAACAAATTTTGTCGAGAAATTTGCTTGCTGTTGCTGTTCATCAGTCTGTAGTATTAGAACGCAGAAATGAATATAGACAACTCTGCCAGATTATTATATGTATTATTTCAATTTGTTTCTGGTACATACTCAGTTTTTTCTATATAATTGCAAATTGGCCTAAACCGTTAATGCTAGCAAAAACTTCACTGAAATAATCGATGTAGAATTAAAATATCAAACATAATCCGAAAACAGAATTTAAAAATCTAACCTTTAATTTTCGACATAAAAAGAGAAATCTTTGCTTTTTCCTTTTTATAACAAAAATCTTCTTAAAAAAATTTTTTGTGCTGTTTTCTACTACTTCTGAATTAGGATGCCATCTTGTAGGAAATTTTTCCTTTAGTTGTCGAGATAATACCATTTAATCTTAAATTTAACTATTCCGGACGGCATGCACATGCTCTATTAAAATTGCAAATAGGGCCTAAACGACAACGCTAGCAAAAAATAATATTACTAGAATAATTGATATAGAATTAAATTGTCTATCAGAACTGGAAATCAGAATTTAAAAATTCCAATATTTAATTTACAACATAAAAAAGAGAAATCTTTTGTTTTTTATAACAAAATATTTTCTTTAAAATTTTTGTGCCATTTTTGTCGTTTTTCAATAATGATGCCATCTTGCTCAGAATTTTCAAGGATCAAGAATATGCAGTTCTTATTTTCTAGCCCCTTTATTGTCGAGATAACTACTCATTTAATCTTAGAAAATTAGACTCTCCCGACGGAATACGCGTTTCATTAAAAATGCAAATAGGGCCTAAACGATTAACATTAAAGCAAAAATGTTACTAGAATAATTGATATAGAATTAAATTGTCTATCCGAACTAAAATCAGAATTTAAAAATTTGAATATTTAATTTCGACATAAAAGTTGTTTTTATAACAAAAATCTTTCTCTAAAAATTTTTGTCCCATTTTTATTGTTTTTCAATAAGGATGCCATCCGTCCAGAATTCTTTTCAAGGATCAAAATATGTACTTATTTTTATTCTCGTCTTTTAGTTGTCCATAAAAGGAAAAGATTTCTCTTTTTATGTTGATAATTAAAAGTTTGAATTTAGAAATTCTGTTTCGCCGTTGATAGATAGTTTTACCCTGGCAATGATTATTTTAGTAAAAGTTTTTTTACAGCATTAACCGTTTAGGCCCTATTTACAAATTATAATAAACACGTGCGTATCCCGTCGGAATAGCCTAATTTATGAATATTAAACACACTTATAGATTAAGGCCCCATTGGTACGTAAAACAATTTATTAAAACATGCAAATAGGCCTTAAACGATCAATGTGTTAAGAAAGTAATTACATAAAAGTCGATATAGAATTTTAAGCTTACAGAACTGAACACAGAATTTAAAAAATTCCACCATACAGAAGCTGACTTGCTGAAAAGAAGATTTTAAACACACTTGCTCTAGTTATTACTGCTAAGCCGAATATCAAAGCCTCCTCCACCTCTCAAGTGATCCGAAATACCCAAAGTCGAGTTTCGACTGTTTCCCGAGTCCGGGGTTTTGTGTCATTTTGCCTCCTCAGAGTCGACAAAATAAAAGATTGGAATATTAGGAACGCAGAAAGTTGAGGAGGCTGATAAAGTTTTGGCGGCAACTAGTAATGTGCTGCCTCTAGTATGACGGGCCGAAGTTCAAAACTTCGGTTGTTGTCGTTTCCACTGATAGATAGTAACTCTATGCACTTTTCAAAATAAATGGTTTTATGGATCAGTAAATATGTGATCAGGTAGAAATACAAGAGAACAATTATAATTGAAAACTTAAAAATACTCTTTATTAAAGAAAACGCACAAGCATAAATTTTAGAAATCAATTTGTATAATAATCCCAAAAGCATTTAAAATATACAAAATGGTCCTTCTATGATGTCAAACTAGGTGCAAAATCCCTAAAACCAGCAAAAATTAGTCCTTCGAACATAAAATGCAATTTTGGGGGTCAAATAGAGATAATCACAAAAGTTAATTAGAAAATGATAAAGAAATTAAATACTTACATAATCTGATGAAAAGAATGCTCCTTCTACGATGTCAGACTCAGTAGCAAAATCCCTAAAACCAGCAAAAATTAGTCCTTCGAACATAAAATGCAATTTTGGGATCAAATTGGGAGATAATCACAAAAGTTAATTAGGAAAAATGATAAAGAAATTAAATACTACAATCTGATGAAAGAATGCCCTTCTACGATGTCAGACTTAGTAGCAAAAATCCCTAAAACCAGCAAAATTAGTCCTTCGAACATAAAATGCAATTTTGGGGATCAAATTGGGAGATAATCACAAAAGTTACCTGATAATAAGATATCTGATTGATATTGATTTATCCCTTCGAACATAAAATGCAAATTTTGGGATCAAATCTTCAGAGATAATCACAAAAGCTAATTAGGAAAATGATAAAGAAATTAAATACTTACAATCTGATGAAAGAATGCTCCCTTCTACGATGTCAGACCTCAGGGTAGCAAAATCCCTAAACCAGCAAAATCAGTCCCCGAACATAAAAAATGCAATTTTGGGGATCAAATTGGGAGATAATCACAAAAGCACTAGGAAAATGATAAAGAAATTAAATACTCTCTACAATCTGATGAAAGAATGCCCTTCTACGATGTCAGACTTGAAGTAGCAAAATCCCTAAAACCAGCAAAATTAGTCCTTCGAACATAAAAAATGCACCTTTGGGGATCAAATTGGGAGATAATCACAAAAGTTAATTAGAAATGATAAAGAAAATTAAATACTTACAATCTGATGAAAGAATGTTCTTCTACGATGTCACCAGACTCATAGCAAAAATCCCTAAAACCAGCAAAAATTAAAGGTCCTTCGAACATAAAATGCAATTTTGGGGTCTAAATTGTGAGCCAATCACAAATGTTAATTAAAGAAATGATAAAGAAATTAAATAGTTACAATCTGATGAAAGAATAGTCCTCTACGATGTCAGACTCAGTAGCAAAATCCCTAAAACCAAAGGTAAAAATTAGTCCTTCGAACATAAAATGCAATTTTGGGGTCAAATAGGAGATACAATCACAAAAAGTTAATTTAGAAATGATAAAGAAATTAAATACTTACAATCTGATGAAAGAATGCCCTCGATGTCAGACCTTAGTAGCAAAAAATCCCTAAAACCAGCAAAAATTAGTCCTCCTTCGAACATAAAAATGCAATTTTGGGGATCAAATTTAAGATAATCACAAAAGTTAATTAGGAAAATGATAAAAAGAAATTAAATACTTACAATCACGAAAGAATGCTCCTTCTACGATGTCAGACTCCAGTAGCAAAACTTCTAGAACTAGCAAAAAATTAGTCCTTCGAACATAAAAATGCAATTTTGGGATCAAATTGGGAGATAATCACAAAAGTTAATTAGGAAAATGATAAAGAAATTAAATACTACAATCTGATGAAAAGAATGCTCCTTCTACGATGTCAGACTAGTGCAAAACTCTAAACCAGCAAAATTAGTCCTTCGAACATAAAATGCAATTTTGGGATCAAATTGTGGAGATAATCATAAAAGCATCAGGAAAATGATAAAGAAATTAAATACTTACAATCTGATGAAAGAATGATCCTCCTACGATGTCAAACTCAGGTGCAAAATCCCTAAAACCATCAAAAATTAGTCCTTCAAACATAAAAATGCAATTTTGGGGGTCAAACTGTGAGATAATCACAAAAGTTATTTAGGAACATGATAAAGAAATTAAATACTTACAATCTGATTAAAGAATGGTCCTTCTACGATGTCAGACTCAGTAGCAAAATCCCTAAAACCAGCAAAAATTAGTCCTTCGAACATAAAAATGCAATTTTGGCGGTCAAATTGTGAGATAATTACAAAAGTTATTTAGGAAAATGATAAAGAAATTAAAAGACAAGAAGTCGAAGTATTTCATAAGATTTAAGAATAATATATTTATACATCATAGAGAAAATACAATATGTGTTGTTAAATTATAAATTAGTTACTTACACAAGGATAATAATGAATATATTTACAGGAAGGCCTTGTAAGTTGCATTAGTATGCACACGAAACGCGATCAAATATTTTACCACTATAGCATTACTATAGTTGTTACAATTAAAGAGTCGATTGATAATCGAATATAATGCAAATTTAGAAAGCCGAAGTCCGAACAAACTATACGAGTCGATCGAATCACGACTGAATTAGCCATCGACCGGCACGCAACTGGCTGCAAAGCATCGCAACGACGCAATAGTTTACGATAACAAAGCCAGAGATGCGCAAGGTCAGTGCGTCGACGGCACGCGATCTTGCGACAAAAATGGTTGTTTATATGTTAAAATAATTTGATATTCGTATAAACACAGAATTTGAACCTCAGAATTAAACGGAAAATATATTTAAAAAATCGGCCCACTACTTGACTAGCAGGAATCGTTGTTAACTTAATTAAAGTTTTTTATGAGAAAAGAAAAAAATTTAAAAAATTTAATATTAACAAAGATGCATTAAAAACATGCATGTTGAAAAATATATAAATAATTATAATTATATTACTTTTTTGGTCCACTGCTCTCATAATAAACACCAAGGTCGATTATAAAATTATTTAGTCATAATTTAATGGCATGGTTCCTATATGAAATACTAACTAAATAACTGGAATTGTTTAGATATTGCTCAGTTGGTACCTGACAGTGTAACGAAACATTTAACAAAAAAATGACATCAACAGTTGGTAAACTCTTCGTAATGGACTTGAGCCCTCGTTGTCGCACCGTAATGTTAACGGCAAAGGCTCTTGGGATTGAAATAGAGGTAGTGGAAACTAAGAATACTTGGGTTGTGGTGATAATGATGAGCTACATTTTTAACTTATAAATGAATTACTCGTGTTCAGGGCACTCTACGAAGGTAGCGGTAGAAGTGACTCGTGTTCAGGGCACCCTACAAAAGGTTGCGCTAGATGGGACACCCATTCAGGGCACCGTACCAAGGTCGCGGTATAAGTGACTCCCATTCAGGGCACCGTACAAAGGCAGCCAACAAAAGGTTGCGCTAGAAGGGACTCCCATTCAGGGCACCGTACCAAGGTAGCGGTAGAAGTGACTCGTGTTCAGGGCACCGTTCGAGGGTCGCGGTAAAAATTATTCGCATTTTCTATTAGCTAAGCTGGTTAAATCGGAAATTTACGATATGAGAAAATAATTTTTAAGAAGAAATGGGCAAAGTACTCCTTTTGATGTTTTTTGAGGATCTTCGGTAGCGAATATCTTTTAAACTAAAAAGGCTATCGACTAGCCCAAAAAAAAAAAGTTTGGAAAATTCTCTATAAGATAATACAAGAAAATAATTAAAATTCGGGATGTAAAAGTTCTGAAATCGTATTTAAAAGTGCTTAAAAGTGGACATTTTCTCAGAGTCTCAGAGGATAATTTCTTCGATTGCGATGAAGATAGAGAGGAATGAAATGCGACTACCCTGTGTCTTTGCAACCCTCGGTGGTACGCGATAAAAAACTACGTAAATACAAACTAATGTACGACGCAGAAATTATAATGAAAAATATAATTATTATAAACTTACCAATACAGATCGGACTCCAAGGTAAATACTGTAAATAAGATAAGAAAATATAAGTTAAAACAAAAATATTTCATATTATTAAGTAATATTATATTCACACAGCGGAGTACTCATAAAACAAGGTACTTACACCAGCACGATGGGCCATCTTAATGATGAATAAATCATAATGGACACCTTATGAGTGCCAATATACACTTTCAGCACGATCAAAAACTGGCCGGACAAGAAAGGCCCAAATAGTAAATAGCATTACGAGTTGCCTAAAATACGTCTGGATCAACCAGATACCGGCACGAAACTGGCTCCAAACTGTACAAGAAACGACGCGACGGTTTATGATAAGAAAGCAATAGATGCGCAAAGCCAGTGCGTCGATAGCACGCGACCTTGTGTGCGAATTGTAATAGGCATGTTACCAGCGATCAAAACAAAACTAAGATGCGTCAACATGCGGCGTGAGGAGATGGCCACGGACGACACTCGGGAATTTCATGCGTTGCATTCCACGCTGCGGAAGCGATAAGAAAATAAATTGTGTTCAAAACAAACACAACTCTCATGCTGAATGCCCACGTTTGCCGATAAAGACAGTAAATAAAGAATACAACTCTATTTTATGATTTTTAGTTCATGCTAGTGCCATCTCTGAATGATTCAGGTAATGATACCGTTATGATATACTATTTTATTTTATGATATCGTTAATTTTTGTCCCCTCCTCTCATAATAAACACCAAAGTGGATTATAAAATTGTTTAGTCATAATTTAATGGCATGGTTCCTATATGAAGTGTTAGCTAAATAACTGGAGTTGTGTAGATATCGCTCAGTTGATACCTGACAGTGTAACGAAACATTAAACAAAAAATGCCACCAACTGTAGGTAAACTCTTTGTAATGGAGTTGAGCCCTCCTTGTCGTGCTGTAATGTTAACGGCAAAGGCTCTTGGGATTGAAATAGAGTTAGTGGAAACTAATTTATTCAAAGCTGCTCAGATGCAACCGGAATTTTTGAAGGTAACTACGTAAACGTGATCAAAGGCAGATAATTTAAAGTTACTTTTATGTTATAGTTAAATCCAAATCATACCGTACCCACATTTTTGGACAATGATGGAACATCAGTCGGTGACAGTCACGCAATCATGACGTATCTTGTTTCTAAATTTGGTAAAAACGATGCGTTATACCCGAAAGACCTTAAAAAACGGTCAGCGGTAGATCAAAGATTACATTTTGATTGTGGGACTGTGTATGCTTTGCATCTATTTATAGTGGTAAGATATTAATTCATTTCTTGGAAATAAATAACTAACTAATATTATATATTATAATATAGGGCCCTATGTATGGCAAAACAGCAACAGGACCTTCTGACTATCACAAAATGGCTGCTGAAAGAATGTATTCATCGTTGAATAGGTATCTTGAAGGAAATAAATGGGTTGTAGAAGGTGAAACACCAACAATTGCTGATTTCTCATTGATTACATCGATCCTATGTGTTTCGATTGTCGCACCATTCGATAAACAGAAGTTTCCAAACATTGTCAACTGGATTAAGAGATGTGAGGCATTGCCGTACTTCAGTGTGAACAAAAAGGGACAAGATGTATATGCGTCCATGTTGAATGACATGTTGAATAACAAACACGATTTTTATCTAGAATTCAGCAAATAAATGTATCTTATCATATTCAATGAGCAAATACATGATGAATCGATTTTTGTGCTTTATGTAATTCGTTTAGTTCAATACACCTCAATGGCTTGGAATATTTTGAAGTGCATTAACAAGGTCAAGCATTTCAAGGTAAATATTTAGTCAATATAATGTACATTCTTATCAATATTATGAAATACAGCATATGTGACTTGATAAAACCAGTTGTTACTACACCGTGAACTAGACAAGTGTAAAAGTTTTTTTTCTAAAATTTAAATAAAAATGGCGCCTACTGTTGGTAAACTTTATATAATGGAGTTAAGTCCTCCATGTAGGGCTGTAATGCTTACAGCAAAAGCACTTGGTATCAATTTAGAGTTAGTAGAAACCAATTTGTTTAAGAATGAGCACTTTAACCCATCATTCTTAAAGGTAATGCAACAGAAAATCAATTAAAAGTGTATAAAACTAATAATCATACTTTAGTTGAATCAAATCATTCGACGCCTACTTTCGTGGACAATGACGGTACTACAATTGGCGATAGTCATGCAATCATGGCGTATCTTGTTTCAAAATTTGGAAAAGACGACACTTTATATCCGAAAAACCTTGCAAAACGATCTATGGTTGATCAAATGTTACACTTTGATTGTGGAACTGTTTACAGTTTACATAAATCCATAGTAGTAAGTTCTATACCTTCAATTAATATCTAAAATGATTATTAACAAATATTTTATGTAATACAGAGACCCATGTATGCCAAAATGCAAACTGGCCCTACCAAAATGCAAATGGAAGCTGCCGAAAAAATGTACACGTCGTTAAACATGTATCTTCAGGGAAATAACTGGGTTACCGGAAGTGAAACACCAACAATTGCTGATTTCTCACTGATTACATCGATTTTATGCATTTCGATTGTTGCACCCTTTGATAAACAAAAGTTTCCAAATATTGTCAACTGGATTAAGAGATGTGAAACCCTGCCGTGTTTTGAGGTTAATCATAAAGGGCAGGAGATTTATGCTTCAATGCTCAACAATATGTTAAATAACAAATACGAATTTTTAGTGGAATTAACTAAATAACATGTTGTATATATGCAAAATTGTATAATGATTTATATAATAGTTGTGGATAGTAATAGATACACTGATAACCTATAATCAAATTTTAGTCAAAACTAGGTTATGTTATAACCAACTAAAGAAATTTTTAAACACTATGACTATTTATGATCTAATATTCAAATTTTTGATTACAGAACCAAAAATAATAACAAATAAAATATTAAAACCTATAATAAAGCTAATTGTGTCAACGAAATAATCCAGAATCATTAACATGTAAGTCACATTCGACCGACAAATTAATATACGCTAATTTACCGTTTCTCGCTTCTGCATACAACACGAATTCAATTGTCACGAACAACAAAATCATTTGCATTCGTATTTATTTATTACAATTAAGCCATTATTGGTGACCATAAAACAACTCTTATTCGGAATGAAAATAAAACTATTTTATTATGATAAACTTAGCCTACTATAAACTTCGAGGAATTCCTCACAAAAGAAATCCAGAGAAACCAATGGCATTCAAATGAAAATCATCGTCGAAATGGAAACTTATACTTTTACAATACTCAGTAGCATGTTGGAATATATATCCGACATTGATGGCATGATGAGGAATCAGACTAGGACACACCGATTGTTATGCGTCGCCATGCGCTCGTACGCACACGTCTTCAGTCATTTGTCTGCAAGTCAAACACCAAACAATGAAACTCTACAATTTTTTTCCTATTGAAAGAATTTTACTATGAGATTATAATGTTTGTTGGTTTTTGTGAAAACACTCGGTGTAATATTAATAGTCTTATGTTCTGCTTGTGACCACGAAGATCCATTGAACCCAATTATTATTTATGCGATGCGTATATTCATTTGGGACGTTTTTGCGGTTTATGTCACCGTTTAATATGGCGTTTGAACAATCGACTACCGGTCGCGCACGCGATGCATACCAAACTTTGGCAACCTTTCTTTATTTTTGGCCGCATTTCGGTCGACACCCTGCTGACACAAATTTCGCACAAGCACTACGTGAGGTGGAAAGCATGAGGTGGGTTTAGCGGCAACAAAGGTTTCAGTTCAGTTCAGTCGTTCATTTACAACCACGACGACTACAACAAAATGGCACCCAGACTCAAATTGTTTTATTCTTTGGTTCTTATCACCGTGAATGTGTACAGTGCTACCATTGATAGTGATTCATATCTAAGTGCTTATAAGTTGACCCATGACCTCAACAACCACTTTGAGAATCGTCCAACGGGCGAAAAAGTGGTTTATGTTGATGCTAACACTGATCAACACATAGATGTACATCCGGTTTATGTTCAGAAGAGTCACGATGATCATACTCATACTCAAGATTTAATTGATGAACATTTTCATGAGGTGAATGCTGAACATGCCCAACATGCAGATCATCTTGATGTGGAGCATCATTACCAACCGGAGTACCATGAACATTACATTGATGTTTCCGGTGCGAATTCAGCGGGAAATGATGGTTTAAGTGGTTTGGGGAGTTATGGTACACCTCCTGTTAGTAGTTATGGTCCACCTGCAGCAGGTGTACCCATACCGGAAGTGGGATATCCAACAGCAAGTCCTGTACAGACTTATGGACCACCTGTACCGGTGTAAGTAATTTTTTTTTAATTTTAAGGTTTTGAAGTAAAAAGGATTTTTAGGAGTTTTCCCAAAAATGCCGGTCTATGGCCCTCCTAGCCCAGTTTACGGACCACCAACACATCATATTGGAGTATACGGTCCACCTCATCACAAATTACCACCTTTGGTAGCTCACGAGTACTACGAACCGGAACCACCTTCAATTATACCGGATTTCTTACATAACCTAGTTACACCTCATGCTTTCCTCGGAATTTTAGACAAGATCAAATGGTTTAAACTAGATCTCTTCACAATCGGGAAATTAATCTTAAAATTCTTTATTTTCAAGAAATTCTTAGCTTTTTTCACAATTTTATTTTTACTGTTGATAATTCCGAGTCTAAAACACAAGGGTAAAGAAAGTGTAGGCATGATGACTGCCATGGTTGATAAATTTGGTCAATCAGATGATGATGACGACGATGAAGAAGATGATGATAATCATAACAAAAGAAAAAAGAAACGTAAAGGCAAAATGTTGATTGATAAAGGTAAGTAATCCATTAACCTTATTTTAGGTTATGTATTAAGGTTATAATTAAAATTCTTACAGCCACGGAAAGTCTAAACGCGTTAACCTCACACGTATTGGAATCCATTGAGAATTTCGAGCAGAAATTCAACAAAAACCAAACGCAAACCAAACTTCCATCAACGATAGTAGCAACTGATTTGAATCAACTGTCAAATTCACAGAAAACGGATTGCGGTGCCAACAATACAAGTATTTATTGTAAGAGTCAGAGCGTAATCGAGAAAATCAAGACAATAATGCCTGCACGAGAGGAAGAAACGAAGAAAACCACAAATACTACTAAAACATCAACAACAACAACAATGACAAAACCAACAGTAAATCGTGTTGTGAATCTGACAAGTAAAAGTCAATTGAGGCCCGTGAACAGTAAAAATACGAGTAAAACCAATAGTACAATCTCCAAAATTAAAAAATAGTTATTATTGAGTCTATTTTGGAATGTATAATTTTATTTTAATAGTCAGTAATTTAAGAGAGTATATTTTTATGTATTTATAAAATATTTGGTAATAAAATGGTGTCATAATCTATTTTTATCATTTTCTATGTTTTAATTGAATTCGGTAACCGTTTTTCGATGCGATGATAATATCCGCTTGAATTTTGACCTCGTGCGCTGGATAACTTGGATGTATCTCAAAATTTCGTAAAATTTTTCCTAAGATACACTTCATTTCCAACATGGCGAATTTCTGACCGATGCAGTTACGACTTCCGGCGCTGAATGCTAAATAACTAAACGCATGTCTTTTGTTGATATTTTCCGCCTGGAATCTTTCCGGGATAAACTTTTCCGGATCCGGAAATATGTCAGGGCGACGATGTAAATAAAACGGAAAGATTAATAATTGCGTTCCCTTTTTAAATGTCATATCACCTAAAAAATAAAATAATTAAAAACATTTTTTTTTTGCTTTTTTTCTTTTTTTACGAAATTTGATGTCTTGAATGCAATCCCTCAGCATCATTGGAACTGACGGATATAACCTCAATGTCTCTTTAATTGTCATTTCCATATAATTCATGTTTTGAAGGTCAGACAAGGTTGTAGGTCTAAATGGATCGTCTCCAAATATATTTTGCTGTTCCAGAATCAATTTTTCTTGTATTTCCGGATGTTTACTGATCAAATGCAACCAAAAACTAATCCCGGATGCTGTTGTATCATGCCCTTCGAACATGAATGTGTCCACTTCTTCGCGAATATCTTCATCAGTCAATGGTTGACCATCAATTGTTGATTGCAGTAAAAGATCTAAAAACGCAATGCGTTTCCTACGCCCAAATTCATCAATAGCATTAGGATTAAATGAATTTGACTCCGAATTCTTTTGTAATTCTTTACGTCGTGATTCAATTACGGATAACGAATAATTATGAACTATTTTCAAACATTTCTTCTCAATTCTGTAGTCTTTAGTGAAGAAGTACAACAAATCGAAATGTTTGTATATTTTTATTCCACGCTCTGTCACGATGTGTGTTAATACTTTGATTGCATTGACATAATCTGTGTTGGCGTTTAATTGTGCGTTGACTGATATTCCCATTGCAGTTTCTAAACATAAATTATTATAAATCAATAAAATTTGTTAATAAAAAATATTACCATTGATTATATCAAGAGTACACAATGAAATTAAGTCTTGTACATTAAATGATAATTTCCCGACGTTTTCTCGTAATTTATCCATGAGTATGTTTCCGGTTTTATCAAAAACAGGAACAAACTGTTCTAATATCTTGAAATGATATGCCGGTGTAATAAGTTTCCTTCTTTTGTGCCATTTTTGATCTGCGCTTGTTAACAATCCTAAATTTAACCAATTGTGTAGATATCTATAATAATAGCCTTTATGTGAGGTTAGAGGATTGGTACAAACAAACTCCAAGTATTCTGGGTCTGCCAAGGACACCACAAAATCAAAACCAATGAAAGCTTTCGCTAAGTATCCATATTCTTTATGCCATTCATTAATTTGCCAAAAAAGCGCTGAAAAAACCAAAAATTTAAAAAATCACGAAAAAATAATAATAAAATTTACTTGTTGTGTCAAGTTCAGTGACATTTCCTATTATAGGAAATGGTTTAGGCCCTTTAACATCCTTTAAACCTCTTGAATATCTCCATGCATTTATCCACCACACAATGGAAACAAATAAAAACAGAAAAACATCGAAAAAACGATCTGCAACACAAATATTAAAACCATTTTTATAAATAGTACCAACTCGTCTCAACTACGACAAAAAACTAGTCGTTTTTTAACAAGGGCATCGTTTTATCAAGCGTTTTGGTTCATTGGTTTACGTGACAAATGATGAAGTAATTATGGACTCTGGATGTCGGCTTGGTTTGAATGTGTTGTTTATTCTTGAAAAATGAACAAATAAAAATACACATTTCAATCATAATACGAGTTTGTTGTACTCCGATTAGACAGTATTTTTAAACAGCGTTCCTGTTTGGATTTGAATCTCATTAAAAATGCGTCTTAACATTACTAACTTGTTTACGTAGACGATCATTACGACTATTTAAACTTCAGTAATCGCCTTCACTTCGGTAATTATATCATACAAAGATTTTATTCTTACAATAGTGTTTGTTTTGTTAACAAAATTTGAGCTACATTGTATAACAGAATTTCTTCTTAGGTTCTCAAAACGAAAAACTTCAAATTTCTAATAGAATCGAACTAGATGTACATCTCAAGGAGTTTGAGGTTAAGTTAGTTTAGTTAAATCAACAATTAAGACTATTCAACGTTGATGAAGCTAATAAATTAGTAATAATGAGTAAAACTGGCGAGTTTGCATGTCTTTTATGTTAAAATTAGAATTGGTTTGGCTTTGAAGCAAAAATTATTATAGATAGCATAGAATACTATACTTTATTCACGACTATAATATAGTATATTTAATATAGTCGTGAATAAAGACAAATTAAAGCATTACACATTACTGAAGCATCCACCATCTTTTTTTGTTTAATTTTAATCAATTTTGTGTTAAAAATTTGTTTTTTGTTCACCAAGCGGACGGTTTGTTCATCTGAGTATTAAAATATGTTCGTATCGTTCACTCGGTTTCCTACAATTCGTTATGTCTTTCGAAAACAATTGAATCCAATATCAAAACATGAAAAAATCAAAAAATATCAAAATCTTTTAACCTAGGTTATGTTAAAGCGCTAATCGTACCTTTTAAAAAGGTTATGTCTTTATTAAAAACTTTTCTGACGAACTTGTAGCAAAAATTCGTGTAACGAGATTTGCGTCAACGCCATTTTGTAGTGTTATAGTGATTTAAGTACAAATTTACGAGTTTAGTTTACGTTTAATCTTAACTCTATAGGTACTTATCATCCGGGGGAGTAAAATTTAGTTTTAAGCAATTTTCTTGGCACCGTCTTAGCGTTTTTCTTATTTATTTTCCAAAAAAATTAAACGAATAAAATGTTACGTTTCGTATGCGTTTGGGTAGTGTTGAATTATGTTGTTAGCGATATTAATGATACGATATGTTCAACTAGGGGTTGGATGTTTCTGTAAAATGAAAGTTTTTTATTTTAATCGTTGTGTCACGTTTGCCAACGCGACTGCGAATGCCTGTAGGGCTGAGAATGGATATTGAAAGTCCAATGTGTAAGCGTTTCCATCAATTCTTCCAAATTGCATAACCTAAAACACAACATAACCATGTTTAGAAACTACTAACTTAAAAATTATTCATTTTAAACCTGTTTTCCACGAAATTCAATTTGGAAATTTTTAGCAGACTCTTGGGTTACGCGTCCGCCAAAATCAAGTTGATACACTTGACTGTTTTCGTTCCACATGGGCGCTTTATTGTGCATTACAAACTCTCGTCGTTGAGGCACCACGTGATTGTTGCAGTTGCTTCCGTTTGGTTCAATTTTACCACGTTTTAACTAAAAAAACACAAAAATTTAAGCAAAAAAATTTTGTGTTTAAATTTTCTGAAATTACTTTTTGACGTAACTGAGCCTTTTGGAACGTTTCTAAATCTTTATAATTTGTCCCATTACAAACTTCATCACCAGAGGCAGTCACCTCATCATCCGAACTTTCCAGATTTTTATTCTTCCGATTTCTACGACCTAATAACGGCGATGAAAGAAGATTCTTTCTTATTGAGATGCACTTTGAGGTCGTTTACCTAAACATCAAACAATTAAAACTAATTTATGTTCTATTAAATTCCTTTTTTACCTTTTTAGAAGGCGCAGGCGATGCAGGTTGACTCCTTGGTAACCTAGGCGAATTTGGTGGTGTGGACCTCCCATCATCCTCCCTTAACCTTGTTAGTAAATTCTCCAACGTTGCCAGTGCGTGTGTATGCAAAGACATGCCACTTTTGTGCGTTGGGCTGTCTACCCCCTTGTCATTCTTCTTCTGTTTACTTCTACTACGACTTTTATTATTCTTTTCCGTATCAGATGTGTCTTTCTTCCTTCGTGACAATGGACTCTTTACAAATATACTCAACTTTGAAGGCTCCTTCTTGTTATTATTATTATTATTGTTAGTATTAATTAGATTGTTATTGTTAACTGTAGATAAATTCCCCAGATTGGTAATCTGCACAGATTCTTCGGAAACTGCTGTTGATTTCTTAGTATCAACAATTACCTCAGGAATAATCTCCTTGGTTTTGTGCTGGACTTTGATGTCATTGTTAGGTGGGAAAATGTCGCTTGAATCTAACGATTTAGACTTCCCACAGTTCTTCAAATTCGGGGTTTTGTTCATGCGACATTCTCTCAACTCCGTCTGCTGGGATTTCTTTGTTTGTTTCTTATGATGACGATGTTTACGATTGACGAGTACCAAACGTTTCGGAGCATCTTTCCGAAGCATTAGTAATGCTACATCATTGGGAACAATTTGGGCATCAACTAAATCCAAATACCCAACACTACAACTCCGTACCATTGCGTCGGCAATCGGCGCAGGTCCGGAACCAAGTGCTGTGTTTGAATTTGACACTGAACCTGGTCCTGTGCGGATTAAAGTATCAACGGTGGTATTACTTATTGGAATACTGCTAGCAATTGTTGTGGTGGTGGTGGAAGGTCCCGGCGTGCTGGACTCCTCATCTATGAATAGGATCTCTTTCAATCCTTGTGAAGGCCCCTGAATATTTGGGTTGATTGTGGCACCGATGGTGTTTGGACTTGGGCGGTTCTTATCCTTATGTGAACCCCGCCCCACTTGTAAACCACTTCCAGTTGGTGGTCTACCCGAATGATTTTTAATTTTCTCCGAGTTTAAATTCAGAGTTAGGTTTCTCGTCGGACACTGATAGTCGTTTCTGGATGGATTATAGTCCACGTTGTTGTAGGGCCGTTCGAATATGATATCCGAAGGTGCAACGGCGTTTTTTGGCGATTGCAAAGCCGGTACTGCACCGTCACAGCAAAGCGGCGAGATTGCAATATGGCGTTGATTCTGTACTTGACCGGAATGTGTACAACTACCACTAGTTCCCAGGGCCATTGTTAGATTACAGTTTCTAAGCTGGCCAACAAAACTAGTCGTAGATATTTGTGCACTACTTGTAGGATGTTTCGGTGGTTGATGAGTAGTGATGAGCGGTTGCAGTTGATGATGGTGATGCAGTGGCTGGCTGGTGATGATTCCTTCTCGGACGGATTCTGTACTGCTACTAGAATTACTCCCATTGGTGCAGAGACACCTAGCCTCTGTAATTTCATCATCGTATGATTCGGCTTTCGCTAAAGCAGGTACCACTGCACTAGGGCCCGAGCCTGGACGTGTCGTCGAGGATAACGTATTATCACCTGAGTAAGTCCCTTTGTGGGTTTTGTAAAACGACTACCGCGTGGGGACATCGGCGCTATTGGTGGACAATTATCAATAGACACCCGCCGTAACCTAGCCTTCTCCTCAGCCTGACAGATTTCCTCTTCATCTTCCGAGAAGAGATTTGGATTGAAGGTAGGGTCAGGACCAACTGGGAAATCATCTCGTAATTCAGTCATTACCAAAGTCATCTGCCTAGGTTGCAAATGTAGAAGAGATGTCTTATAGGTCACTTGACCCAAATTAGCTGGTACGGAATTGACCAACCCATGAATCTTAAATTTGGTGCCCCATATATTTGAGGTTACTTCCACTAATCTCACATGCTATAAAAACCCCAGAAAATTAATTCTCAATTAGGGTGTAAAAAAGAGATCAAGACATACTTCCGGTAATGTGTCAACATAAGCGAGGTCTTCAGGGTCTGCATCACCGGAACTCTGGCCCGAACGGTCGCCGTAATTGTTCCGCGAGCGTGATTTATTACGCCGTTTGCGTCGGCGTTGCAGACGCGGTGAGCTCGTGCATCCTTCGTCCCGATCGCTGTCCGACGAATCGCTGGCCAAATTACCCCCACTTGTTGATTGACTTGAAGAACCGGAACTTTTCGATTCGGAAGACCAGTGATTCAACGAAATCGCACTGAAATCTACCAAAAAACCATTAAAATCAAACAAAAACTTAAAAATTTTGGTCCTACCTTCAACCTGCGGGTCAAAAATAACAAACTCCGGTCGTATTTTACTCGTACGTTTGCCTTTGAGTAAAGGGACAAGTCCCCCAAGATATTCCAGATACAGGGTGTAGCAGGTGCCTGAAGATATGTTGCTGTCTTCGTCATGGCGGATCATTGTACAATGAAGTCGTACTGACCCGACGGGTGGTCGAGAGACGAACTCACGCAGTGCTGACGGTTCAGGCACACAACACTAGAACAATGGAGGG